TTTATTATGTTCTATTGTATTTCAATGTATTTTATTGTGTTGTAAGCCACCCCGAGGCTTCGGCAAGGGGCAGCATAGAAATGTTATAATAATAATAATAATAATAATAATAATAATAATAATAATAATAATAATTTTCCTCAAACTGCTGCCTTTCACGTGTGTTGGACCATGTGAAAGGGTCTAACGAGCCATGCCGGTTGGGGCAGCGCAAAGCTGGAGTCCAACACGATTGAAAGGCACTATACTGGGGGCAGCCCAGCCTTAGCTGCCATCCGATGTGGCATCCCTAGCAGCACATTTTCAGAGTTTGCAGCCTCTCAAAGGCTGTGCAAGGACTAATCTAGGCAGGAAATCGAAGGGGTGGCTGAAGCAGCAGAGAGGATGTGGCGATGCCTTCCCCGCAGCTTTTTCCCAAACAATTGGTCCTGGTCACATCTCTTTTTCAGTCCGTGGTGGGTGCACTGGCTCCTACAGTCAACCCCGCAGGGCCCACTTAGGTCTCTCCACTCCCTTTTGAACTTTTCAGGCAAAATTTCAGACAGAACAGGGCATGGGAAGCCATGTTCTTCCTTCCCTAATCTGCAAGATCTTTCCCAGAGGAAGGGACAGAATTTCAGAGTCCTGCAACTCCTTCTTCCCCCTGGAGCACAAAGCAATAGTTCATTAGCAACCTCTTCCTACAACCCCAAAAGAGGATGCTTGGAATCTAGTTCTCCTCCACACAGTGAGGTTCACACAATGACACCCTTCCCCATTTGATTGTAGATCAAGTGCTGGAATTCAGGAATCCCTCCCTCTCCCAAGTAACAGGAAAGCAGACCTGTTGGATTACTGAAAACAAGCACCCCCTTTCTGGAGAACCCAGGAGTGCTGGCCGCTGGCCACCAGAGAAGAGAAGAGAACAGAAGAGAACAGAAGAGGGCAAGGCATGGGGAAGAGGAAGTGGGAAAGCTTTAAAAAAATTGGAATCAGCAAATGTAAATGCCAGGAACCACGGCTGGAGGCCAGCAGCAAGAGATCCAAGTTCCACAGACTAGAAAGAAAGAAAAAAGAAGTTACATCCTGCTTATTGGATTAATTAATCCAAACCACCAACCATCTCCTGGTTGTCTGATATGGGCTAGAAAGAACCAAGAGGAGGGACCAGACTTCCCTCCCCTTTCACCATCGCTGTTGTGTATACAAAAGAACAGTCTGAGGATGCTAAAGGACTTCTGATCTGTTTGAAGTGATGGGGTCTGTGATTTTGGGTTCTTTATCTGAGAAGAAACACGTTCCTATACGTTGAGGGGTCATTCTGAACCCCGTTAGCATTTTGCCCAACTAGAAGCAATTCTAAGGGTGTGTTTACTGCTTGATATAAGTGAGGGTCTGTCTCTGCCAGTGCTTCATCTCCGTTCCCAATTTTTCAGAAACAATGTCTTTGTAAATAGACTTAGGAAACCATCCCGTGCATGTTTAGACAGGAAAAAATTCTACAGCTCCTAGCATGTTGCAGCCAGTTTGGCACCTTAATGCAAAAGGAGTGCCTTCAACTAACCCAAGGAGTAGTGGAAGGAATTGTGGTTGTTGGGGAGAAGAAATAGCGGCACATTCTGCACATGGTCAGAGTTTATCTTGGCTATACTATTTTTATTTTATTTTTTATTTTAGTTTCTTATTATGCTTATATCCCAAGCTTCCTTCCAAGCACACAAGCCTTCATTCTTTTATCCTCACAACAATCCTGAGGATGTTGTGCTCCATGCAAAACAGTGTTTGTGCTTTATTTCCTTGTCCTATACCTATTATTCCTACCTCCGTTATGGCACACATTTGGTCTAAGCCTTTTCTTGTTAGAGCTTTATGAAAAATCCCAGCTACCTTACGGGTGGCATTGAAGTATCACTGTTGCTTAATCACTCCCCCTCAGGAACTCCCTAACACATTGTAAAAACAAACAATGATCTATACAGTCAGTAAAGGAAGTGGAAACTAATCCATCCTTGGAAACAATTATTTATTGTGTGTAACTGCAGAGGGGAATCCTACAAAGTTTAGAGCTTTCACATGATCTGCAGCATATCCCGCAGCGTTTGAATTCACAAGTAGCAATTCCTCTACCCTTGGTGTGTTTACCCAAACATTTAGGGGAGGGTCTGGCTTAGTTTTGCACATGCCACTGTGGTGAAGCAGGGCAATTGTGTTCTCAGATATTGCCCGAGTCCCAGAATGGAGTGATGGGAACGGATGGCCAGCGCTCATTCAACAGCTAGGTTTACCTACAGCCATTACTGCGGGTGCGGCCATTTCTTCTATTCAGAAGTGTAAAAAGCAACGCCTGGAGAGCGGAAAGAGCACTCTTTGATTTCAGGAGCACTTTCCACCTTCCTCGGGTGGAAAGGCGGCGTGGGGAGCAGGGCGCGGGCAGCTCCGCGGGGGCTCCCGCGAAGGCGGCGCTGGCTCAGGAAGGGTTAAGGCCGCATCTGGGCGGCGGGACGGGAGAGGAATGCAGCCGCGGTCTGAGCAGCAATTGCTGCCTCGGCGGCTCCGAGGCCCGGCGGCGGCGGCGGCTTTCCCCCGCCCGGGCTTGCAGGGCGGCGCGCGGGCCGGTGGGTGGCGCCACGCGCGGCCGCGGGCGAAGCCCTGGACTCCGGGCGCGGGGGGAGCGGAGCCCCCGCTCTTAAAGGGGCAGGACCGAGCTCCTCCTGAGCGGGGACGGGGGACAAGGGGGACCCCCGCCCCGGGCGGAAGCCGGGGCAACAGAGGGCTGCAGAGGCCTGAGCACGGGCCCTGGGCGCCCAGGGTGCAGACAAGCGGGGGTGTGGGGAGAAGCGAGAAAAGGCCGTGTTTCCTTCTCGGTCCCGGTGTCGCTCCGAATTCACGGCGGTGGGTGGTCTGGGCGCCCTTCATGCTTTGGAATGGAGGAAAGACAGAGGTGCGGCTTCGCTTCAGGGGCCCCGCCTGTTCCTTTCGAAGCCCCCCTCCCCTCCCCTCCCCCAAAAGGACAATCGGGGAAAGGAGCGGCGGCGGCGGCGCGCGCCCGGCCCTGCCACGACACGGTTAAGGCGGGCGCGGGCGTGTGAACGCGGAAAGGCGGGGTAGGAAGGAACAGGGCAGGGTCACGTGGCCTCCCCCGGCTGGGAAAGTTGCGAAGGCAGGAAGTGAGAGAAGAAAACAAAGTTTCCCAGCGAAGGCGGCGGCGAGGAAACCGCGACGACCCCGGCCGCCTGCCGCGGGGGGCTGCGGGAAGCCGAGGGAACCGAGCGCGGCGCGGCGGGGCAGCGACGCCGGGCTCGGGGCCGCGGGGAGCCCTGACCGGGGGCGGGGGCGCCGCTGAGGGGGGCCGGCGAGGGATGGGAGGGTAGGGGTCGCGGCGGAGCCCGAAGGAGGGTCGCGGGAGGGGGGGCTCGGTCCGCGCCCCAGCGGCTTCGGGACAGCGACCACCGGCCCCACACTCCCCAGGGCCGGGGCATCGAACAGGAAGCGGGGGGACGTGCGCCCTGCGAGACCGAGGGGGGAGGGCTGGCCGGCCGCCCCGCACGCAGGCACAGGTGACTGGGGAGCGGAACCCGGAGGGCAGGGTGGCGATGACAGCGACGCGGCCCGCGGATGGACGCGGGCCCAGGCCCCAAGCGCCAGCCCCGAAGCAGAGGAGTGCCCCGGAGGTGTCGACGTCTTCAGGTGCCACCCGAGCTTTTCTCTTGGGACTCCTCATGGGTAAGAGAACATTAGAAGGCCGCCCCCTCGTTGATACTATTTAACGGCCTGATTCGTATTCAAAAATCTCTTGTTGTTCCTGCGATGACAACGTAGGAAGGGTTTTAAAGCGAACTCACTAGATTAGGGATGGGCAGGGAGCAGATTCCCCAGGATGGACTGCACTTCAATGCCCAGCATCCCCGGCCAGTGGACATGCCTGCAGGGCCTGCCGGGAGTCCCAGCTGCCCAGAGATCCGTGTTCTGCCCACCCCGCTCTGACCCACCACATCGAACTTCAGGAATCACCACGGGTGTGCTGCGTCCTTGGGTGGCCCTTGCCTGCTTCCACACACAACCACACCATTGGCAATTTGTATAAATTGTTACCGCCCCGGGGCTTCGGCGAATGGGGCGGCATAAAAATGTTTTAATTAATTAATCCATCCTGGACAACCGGAAGCCAGATGTAGGCCCAAACATCTGGAAGGGCACAGGGTGCCCACCCCTGGTGTAAACATTGATGGCTAAACATGGGCCCAAACTTTGTGTGATGGTATGGTTTGTTGAATCTGTTAGCCTGAACGAACTTTCAGCGAGCTTAGCTTGAACTAAGCTGGAACCCTTCGGTTGGGAGTGGTAACCCAGCCTTACTGGAAGGTCCCAGTTTGGGGGAAATTGGTTTAATCCCATGCTGGAGAGGGAAATTCAACCCCATCCTGAGCACCTTAGACCTTTCCGCCTCCCCACTGTGCTTCTGTCAGAGCTGATGAGAAAACTACCTAGGTGAACAGACTGCAGTGGGGTATCTTATACATAGAAAGAATTTAGCATCTTCTGCTCACTCCCCCCCTACCCCCCGGATAGCTGAGCGGGAGATGTGGGCTGGAGTTGACCCCACTGAACTCGACGATCTTTGGGTCTTGTGCTGGGTCCAATCCTTGGAACAGCTGCAGGGCAATTCGGAGTTGGCCATCAATGCCATAATCCTGCCCTCCTTCCTCTTGTCGTGTGGTTGTCTTTCCCTCCCCAGTAATCTGACACTCTAATCAGTAAAATTTGACCTCCCCACCAATATTCTTGTCTGCATAGCTATATATCAAACTAACATGTCAAGTCACCTTTGCTAAGCTCGAAAGGCTCAGGCTGGATGGGTGACCACATGCGGAAGAGGAGCAGGGGCTGGACTGGATGACCTTACAGGCCCCTTCCAACTCTACTACGATTCTATTCTATATCAGCAGACACTCGTGCAACTCTCTTTGCAAAGAGTTAGTTGCAGCTGCTGTTAGAAATGGGCCACCCTGTTTTTACTCTGTGCACATTTAGGTCCTACACCCGCTTGTATTTTATAGTCTTTTGCCCTTTTTACAAGATTTTGCTGTTTGTTTTTGGGTTTGTATCTGTATCTATCTGCCAAACGAGGAGAGTGTGGCATGCATCGGGCAAAGCCGGCTCCACAGTCCACAAAAGGCAGCTAGTATATTTGGCTCTTTTTTCCCCAGCAGCACATTCAAGGCAGAGAGTCCGTCTGGAATTAGTCTTTCTGTGCTTTCTCTCCTTAGGTGCCTTTCCGCTCAGTGAAAGTAGCTCTTCACACCTCGGTGAGTATCAAAATTGGGGTCACATTTCCAAGGTCTGGAGGAATACAGAAAGGAAAGGTGGAAAAGGGGGTGGCTCACTTTTGATGTTACATTGAGAGAGGCAGTGTGGTGTAGTGGTTAAGAGCATGGGACTGGGACTCAGGCGATCCGGGTTCGAGTCCCTGCTCGGCCATGAAGCCAACTGGGTGACTTTGGGCCAGTCACAGCTTCTCAGCCCAACCTACCTCACAGGGTTGTTGTTGTGGGGATAAGATGGAGGAGGAGATGTAAGCTGCCTTGAGCCCTTTGTAGGAAAAAGGCAGGATATGAATCAAAAAATAAATAAAAATAAATTTATAGTACCAGAGATGTAAGTGCTTCCTGACAAAGTATAGAAAATATACTTCTTATACCTATAGGAAGGGGCTCATAGGCTAAAAAGGGGACTCCAAGAGGAGGAGAAAAGGCAGTTATTTTGGCTGAGCATATTTAGTGGTAATTACAGTAGAGCAAGAATTATGACCCTGCAGATGTTTTGGCCTACAGTTCCCAATACCCCCAGCCTGCCTGGCTAATGGTGAAGGATCATGGGAGATGTAGACCAAAAAAGGATCAGGAGGGCCGCAATGGTCTTCTTTATCATCACAGACGCATAAGAGGCAGCAAGGGAAGAAAGAAACAGAAGCAGAGCGAGTCAGAAGGGGCCTCCTGGGGCCTCTAGTCTGACCCCCGGCACCAGCCAGCTCCACTCATGACATGCCCACCATGTGCACGTCCAGCCTATCCTTGAACACCCGCACCGATGGGGCCTCAACGACCTCCCGGGGAAGCCCATTCCACACCCTCGGGGTCCTGACTGTCAGGAAGTGCTTCCTGGCATCTAGATGAAACCTTCCTCAAAGTGGACGGAAATTGTTGGGGTAAATTAGTAGGCAGAGAGCTGCAAATCCCGCTATTTGGGAGATAGGGGAAGGCAACAACAAGCCCAGGCATAAAAGGAAGGGCTGGATTTTCCCTTCCTGCAGGGATCTGCCAGGGCTATCCTGACTTCCGGAGAGAACCACAAGGCCAAATCCATAGTCCGCCTTCTCAAGGGACGGTGTATAGCAGCTGTAGCTGGATTATCCTGGGGGGACTGGAGGACATTGTCTACATCAGGTGAGGCGACGGTGCAAACACCCCGGTTTTCAGCAGCAGAACTGAGCCACCCACAGGCGTGAGCACTGCTTTAGCTTTCTTGTTACGGGCTATGCGGTCATCTCCGGCTCTGTGCAACCCTGTGAATGAAAGCGCTCCAAAATGTTCTGTCGGTGAGATCACTGCTTAGCCGGTCCATGTTTAGAGCCACCCAAAGCCCACACTGTAAGAGGGCACGGACTCTATGCCTCCCCTCTGGGCCGGTTCACACGCCCAAGTTTTCTTATCTGATCAGCCCTCAAGAAGGCATTTCTTTAGAGCAGGGCTGTGTGACGTTTTGGACCCAGAGGCTGCATGCATGCAAGAATGATCTTGTGTCCAGGCACAGACACTTTGCCCATCCTGACGCGATGCGCATGCACCTCTACTGACGGACGCTTTCCCTTGAAATCGAGGAGAAAGCCTGGGGACCACTTTCTGGGCACCACTTTCTTCCCCCAGGGAAGTCGCCCTCTTCGTGCTGGTTCCTGGAACGCTCTCTGCAGAGATGCGGCAAAATAGAGGGTAATTTCTGCACTTGGTGGGGCAGAAATCACACCTCGGGAAGGCCGCCTGTGGGCCAGGAGTTGTGCGGTCTGGTGTAGAACAGAACTCCTGTAAACAGAACCCGTCGTAGACATACCTGCTGTTTCTGTGCCCCCAGCATCGCCTGTTCGTGAGTGCTTCTTCACAGTTTCCTGGGGAACATCACACGGAAGCAGAATCTGACACGCACACATGCCCCTCCGCCTCTCTCTCCCTCCCACAGGTTCCAGCGCTTTTCTCTCTCCTGTGGCTCCGAAGTGCTAATGATTCGTTCGCCTGCTCAGCCTCCGAAGAAGATCTGCGGCTACAAAAGTCCGGAGCCCCTCCGGATCAAAGGTGGCAACGTGACATTAACGTACAGCTGGAAGTTCATGAGGGGAAATGGATTTCAGCTGAAATACCTGAGAGGTATAAAGCACTGAGACTTACAAACTCAGAGTTGGTTGTTGTTTAGTCGCAAAGTCGGGCCCAGTCCATCATGACCCCATGGACAACATTCCTCCAGGCTCTCGCATCCTCTACCATCCCTCGGAATCCACCCAAGCCCACACCTACCTCCCCAGGGACCCCATCCAGCCCCCTCGTCCTCTGCCTTCCCCTTCTCCTTTTGCCATCAATCGTTCCCAGCATCAGCATCTTCTCCAGTGAGTCCTTCCTTCTCATTAGGTGGCCAAAGTACTTGAGTTTCTTCTTTAGTATCTGGCCTTCTAAAGAGCAGTCGGGGTTGATCTCCTCTAAGACTGACTGGTTTGTGCCTGTACCCCCAGACAAAAGCATTTGCTGATCCACCAAGCTATTTGGCTACCTCCTTTCTCTTCATCCAGTTTTCTGGATGATTCTCACCCCGACAGATTGTATTTTGCTGTGGCTGATGAAGATTTGCCCTGACCGATTAAGCAATCAAAGCGATGGCTGGCAAATGCACCAGTGAAACTTTGTATTACAGATAGATTATAATGAAAATTGCAGGCTTTAATTAAAGCCTGCTACTTTAATTATAACATACGCATTTTATTTAAAAGGCTTCACACCTCGCCTTTCAGAGCTAAGTGATCTTTTAAGTGTAAACCTTACCCTTAACATTAGACATTTCTATCGGTACAACAAAAATCAAAGAGAATTAAAATAAAGTATAACCATTAAGAAAAGAATTAGTAGAGTGAAAGCAAAATAATGATGGAAAGCAGTTCAGTCGTGACCAAAAGCCTGACAAAAATAAAAAGGAATGTGCTCCCCAGAGAGGTCCGCCTGGCGCCGTCGTTATTTGTTTTTTGGCGCCAGGCGAAGACCATTTTAGTCAAACGTCATTTAACTGTTCATACTATTTATTTTTTATTCTTCGGCCAGGGCGACTTATTTTACATTGTTAACTTGTTTTATATTTTTATTGTATAACACTTTAATTGATAGATTTGTGAGCCGCCCCGAGGCATCGGCGAATGGGGTGGCATAGAAATTTGCTAAATAAATAAAAAGATCTGAACAATTTGTCTAAATATCAAAAAATGGAGCTAGCTGCCCAGCTCCAGAGAAATTCCACTACAAAAGAGGGCCATTTCTTTCATCTTTACCAAGGCTGTTTCCCAAAGGTCATGGTGGAAAAAATCTGGGAGAAAATACCCATATTATTTAGATATTCACACAGTATAGTACGCAAGTGACCAGATGCCAGTGTCCTGCAGCAAGAAGACAGTTGGATTATTTATTGTTTGTTTGTTTGTTTGGAATTTTTGTATGCCGTCCCCTTCACATAAGTCTCGGGGCGGCTTCCAACATCATAAGTAAATACTCGTACAAATAAATACATATAAAATCTGGATACATCCTGGCTAAATATTTTAAAACCAATAAATAATAACAATAATTAAAATATCGTTTAAATAAAAAGGTCTTGGCCTGGCGCCGAAAAACAAATAACGATGGTGCCAGGCGGACCTCTCTGGGGAGCGCATTCCAGAAGTGGGATTAGCACTTGGAAGGTCTGGTTCCAGTCCTCATGCTGCTCTGAGTGGGGGCAGTCATGCACTCTCAGCCTAAGCTACCTCACAGGGTTGTTGTGAGGGTAAAAGCGGGGAGGGGGTAACAAGCCAAGACCTTGGCTAGCTTACAGCAAAAAAGGTGAATATTATACATGCAGATACATATGTGAGTATAATAAGCAAATATATTTGCTTAAAATTTGCTATTTAAAATTTTAAAATATTAAACTATTGAGGAGTCAGCAGTAGAATTAATGCAGGTTAAAGAGTAAATGCCTACTTAAAGAAGAGGGTCAGCCCCTGGGTTTTGGGGAGGGCACTCCAGAGAAGGCTGCCTTCCACGGTAACCATGTCCCCACAGCTTATGCTAGCCACCGAAAAGCTTCCTCAGGCCATCCTGGCCACAAGGAGGGAGCCCTTTCCATCCACCTGGCTCCCCTCTTCACGTTTTCTTTCCCTCCTCTGCTGCAGAATCCAAAGCCAGGCCTCCCCCGATGTGCAACGTCACTCTGGACAACTTCTACGGGGTCATCTCTTCCCCGGCATTTGCCTTGGACTCACACCTGGGCGCTGCGGACTGCCAGTGGGCCCTGGACACCCACGACAGCCGCCCTCTGTCCATCCGCTTCACCGTCCTCGATTTGGACGTCGGGGACTCGCTGCGCGTGTACGACGGGGTGCCCGGAGCCCCTCTGCACCCCCGGCTGCTACGCAACCTGGACTACACCAGCAACCACAAGGTGGTGTCTGTGGACTCGCCGTCCAGCCGCGCTTGGGTCACGTACCAGGCCGTGCCGGGAACGGCGGGCCGCGGCTTCAACGCCACCTACCACGTACGGGGCTTCTGCGTCCCGTGGGACTTCCCTTGCGGCAGCGGGGATGGCGAGGGCGCCACGTGCTACAGCGCCGCCGAGCGCTGCGACGGGGTCTGGGATTGCGCCAACGGCGCCGACGAAGACGGCTGTCACGGATGCCTGCCCGGGCAATACGCCTGCGGAGGGCGGGGGATCGGCGGCGCCGTCTGTTACGGGCCTGCGGACCGCTGCAACTACCAGACCTTCTGTGCCGATGCCGCTGACGAGCGCCACTGCTATAGCTGCCAGCCCGGGAACTTTCGGTGCCGGGACGGCCGCTGCATTTACGAGAGCTGGGTGTGCGACGGGCAGGCGGACTGTGTGGATGCCTCCGACGAGGCCGATTGCGCCTACATCCTGCCACGCAAGGTGGTGACAGCGGCTGTCATCGGTAGCCTGGTCTGCGGCCTTCTCTTGGTGATCGCGCTGGGCTGCACCTGTAGGCTTTACGCCCTCCGCAACCACGAATTTGGGTAAGGAGTACCACAGGGCAGGGATGGGCACATGCCCCTGGGGGACCGACAGGAGGGCGAGACCAACAGCCGGGAGCAAAGCATTGTGGGGAGTGAAGTAGGAGGTGTCCCGCACTCTCCTGGGGCGATCCTACGGAGATCTGGTCCTCTGCAGTGCCTAGGAAGGGGATTGTACCGAACCTGCAGGGATGGAGACGGGAGGCACCGGAGCTTGACTGCTCCTGCTCAGATTCTGTGGTTGCACGAAACGAGAAGCCACGAAGGTGGAGAAACCACGGAGGAAGCAGGGAAGTGCCCAGTGCCACAACAGGGTGCAGGAGAGGTCTGGGGGGGGGGGGAAGAAGGCTGGGTAGTGAAGGGTGATAGGAAGTGATGTGAGAGAGGGGGAATTGTGGGGTAATTCTCACATTCTGTCCTTCCCCCTGCAGTATCTTGGCTCCCGTGTCACGGATGGAGGCGCGGATGATGCAACGCCAAGCGCCCCCCTCCTATGGGCAGCTCATTGCGCGGGGCGTTATCCCCCCTGTCGAAGGCTTCCCTACGGAGCATTCCAATCAGGTGAGGAGGCCCAACAGGCAACCTGTTCTGCTCCATTCTGTTCCTTTCCGTTCCTACAGTCGTTGGCCTAGGAGAAACTTCTCCCCCTTGTCTGTTTCTTTCTCTGCTGAATGCTTCATTGTTTGTTCCTGGTTTCCAAACAATGGGGCAAAATTCCCTTAATAACATTGTCTTTGAGGGCCCTTTCACCAATTTCTTGCTGGCTCTCCAATTAACCCTCTTTAATTTGGAGAAAGTCCTAGCGCAGGTTCTGCAGTATTTTGCATCCATGGGTATGTTTGAGAACTTATCATGGGCGCTCTCACAAAATGGCTGCCATGGTGGGGAAGCTGCTTCATTCATACGAAGGTGACCCTAGAGGATGTTACTGCTCACAAAAGACTTAGTTACCCGGAGACAAACTAGTAAGACTAAAACAAAAGCAATGCCAGCAAGAACCTAATTACTTGGCATTTGTAGGGTCTGAGCTACAGAACATACGACTCCAATTTGGACTCAACTAGAGATGATCCGGGAGGGCAACATTTCATTTTGCCACACACCCACTTCCCAGTTTTCTCTCTTCGTTTAAAAATGTAAGAAATGAAATAGGAACCGGGGCATATAGTCTGGACTATAGATGGCTTTGCTCCCCTTGGGTGCCCCTGGCCTGAGATCCCAGCACTGAAAGACATCCTTCTAGGAAATTCTGGATCAAGAGCGTTGAGGAATAGCCAGAGTAGTGCTTACACAGGATGCTGATAGGTTTTATCTTATCGAGGGCCTGTTGAACTTGCCGCCATCGCCACTTTTCCTCTAACGTGAGCGCTAAAGGGGTCTCCCTGTATTCTGTGCCCTTCTCGTGCAAAGACACAAAGTCCCGCATAAACAACTGCTTCATTTTATTGGTTTCATTCCACCAGTTTTGAAAGCTTTTCTACAGAGATTTAGCTATAAGGGGTGCCCCCACCAAAGCAACCATGGGACGTGTTTCTGGCTGCCGGGGGTCAAGAGCACCGATGGAGAATTCTCCGCACCATCCCAGAACGACAGCTCCCGAGAGGTCCTTGGGAGAAGTTCGGTTTGCCCGACACATACATTTAAATCCATACATGTGTCTTCTCCCAACCTGTCCATCTCGTTGCAGAATTCGATGCTGGGAAGCTTGAGGTCGCTCCTCTGCGCACTGCGTCACGACCCGGCCACCGCCGCCCCCGGGGGACACCGCCCACATCGCAGCCGTTTCGTGCGCCGGCTGGTGAGGCGCATGCGCCGGATGGGGTTGCTCTCTCGGCCCGCTCCAGCGTCCCCTTCTTCCGCCGCTGCCACCAGCTCACCCTCGCATGCAGTTCCTGACGCCGTGCCGGAGCCTTCCCCGGGGGATGGAGATGCACCGTCCGCCCCACAGGGAGACCAAGCACCGCCGCTCCCGCAGAAAGTCCCGCCTGCTCCGGCTGAACCCGCGCCGGAGCCCCCGGCGCCCCCTCCGGGGCCCCCTCCGCGGCTCTCGGGAATGATGCGCACACTCCGGCTCCGGCTGTTCTCCCCAGCGCCACCCTGCTTCGTGGAGGCCCCGGACCCTCTCAGTGCCCCCCCGTCCCCCGCGGATGAGGATGATGTGCTTTTGGTGCCTCTCGCTGAGCCGCACCTGGCGAGCAACACTTCCCCTGTGGCCTGGGAGGCTGACGACGAGCCCCTTTTGACATGAGAAGCCTTCCTCACAGCCAAGGCTGGCGGGTCTCTGTTTCATCATGGGGCAGAGATAGCCGTGGTGCCAGTGACAAACGCCCAGGAAAACGCTTCCAGGGCCCCCCCCACTTCCCTCCCTTCTTTTCCAAAAGCAGCAGCTTGGGAAAAGAAAGAAAATTTAATTCCCTGTCAGTTAAGGTGCGTGCCGGGGGGGGAAGGTCACAAAGACGTGTTGCATTTTGGCATACCAGTGGAATCACGATTCTGCTTGGGGATAATTGTTCCTCAATTCGGTGTGTTAAGGGGAGAAGGAACAGGGTCCCGTCCCACCGAATTCTCTTGACATTCGTAAGAGCCACTAGTGACAGGTTTTGCTTCAGCTGGCACTGAAATTCTCGCTTGTGTAGAAATACGTGCCCTTGACATTTTAAGAAATGTTCTTAAAGAGTGAGGAGGAGGCAATGGAAATGAAATATGTTCCAGGGGGTGACACCAGAGATATTTGTCTGCCTAAAGTGAAGGAAGCAAAGATATCTGTGTAGCAATCAGAAGTAACCCTTGAAGGCAATAATTTAATTGGCTACACGTCAATGTTTGTGAAGTTACAGAATGATTCAGAGAAGGGGAGACGGCTGAAAACAAATAAAGCGATTCCACTAGAACAACATTTGAATGGAAAAACATTTTAGTTATGCACTCCTATGCATGTTTACTCAAAAGTAATTCCCACTTTTTCACTGGGGTTTACATGAAGGTAACTATGTGTAGGATTGCTGCCTTAGAAATAAAGCTGGTAAATATTTTGACCTTTTATTGATAGATGTTTTGTAAGTAAATTATTTTTAAAGGCACAGCAAATGAAATAAATTACATTTTGCACTTGGAGTATCCAATCAGCTGTAAATATGGAAAACTTTGTATGAAGGATATAAGAAATCTTTAAAGGGTAGTGACTCATTAAGTATCTAGTAGTGAGAATTGCAGATTATTTCCTTCTGGCAAAAAAGAAGGCAAACTGACAACGCAGATCCTGATAAATAGAAAATTAATGTGATTCAGTGTGTGTTCATGTGTGTAGAAATATATATTTATATATATGAAAAAATAGAGCTTAAAAGATGAAGTTGATTTCTGCCTGCTTAAAAAAGATCGTTTTTAAAAGACTGGTTTTGGGATTAAGGTTAAGGTTTGAGATTAAGGAGGTTAAAATTTCATTCAAGCCAGTGATGATGGAGAGAAGACTCTATTCTAGGTATTATTTCAGAGTAGCTAACAATTAGCAAGAAATCAATGGGACTAAACTTAATCATGACTAACTTAAGTGCTATTATTTCAGTGAGTCTTCCCTAAATAAGGCATCAGATGTCTGGGACCAGTTCAATCATTCTTAATATATTAAAAATAACAGGTGGTGGTCTTAGGCTAGTGTTTTAAAGGAACATGAAAGCACGAAATCTGTGCTGAATTTCTTCCTGAATTTTGTGTTCTTGAATTATAAAACAAAAAGTCACCTAAGATTTGAAAAAATATTTTGAAAAGGAGGTTATAGTAGTAAATTATGTTGCCTTGGAATTGAGTGGGCCAAGTTTAAGCTGTGAGAATAGCTTTTGCTAAAGAGTTTTGTTTGTAAAAGAATGAAATATATATCCATGTTCATTTTCTATCTGATCCAACGCTCTGTTTAATTATTTGTTTTTGCAACAAGAGTCTCAAAACAGCAAGCATGAGGAGGAGAGTACTGGGAACAATCAGTCCCATTGTAAATATACAGATAGAAACCACCCTCTAGATTAGATAAATCTACAAATACTTTCCAAATCAATTTGATGGCTGTGATTTGGATTAGTTTAATGGGAAGGAAAAACAAAATCTTTCGAAAGAATTGGCTGAATTGGTGCCTTAATTGCACAAGTTGGGAGTTCCATTCGATGGAAAGAAAAAAAGGAAGCCAGGGTGTCGCCACTACAGAGACCCAATCCACTGAGATGTTCACTTTTGCAAGTGCCGCTGAAATTAACTCATGATGGGTTTGGTCCCTGAGCTGGTTTATTGGTGAGGAGAGAGGAAGAGTGTGTGCATTTGGGTGCTTTTCTAGAGGAGAATCTTCTCCAGAGATCCATGAATCAGTAATGATTTTTACTGGGTAGCAGGAGTTCGTGATTGGTGGTGGTGATGTTGAGATACGCAAGCAAATACTGGCACTATGTATTTTTGCCATTGCGCTGTGACCACGAACTGGCGCCGTTCTGTTTGTTATTTCACCTCCTGTTGCCTTTAAAGTTTTGCTAAGAAATAAAAAAAAGAAATTTTGAACTGTAATGTCTGCTCCCGTTTGCATTTCTTAATCAACCGATTCCTTTAGGCAAATGTCTTGTGGATCTGGGAGACCTCCCATCCAATCAAAGAGGGCTCTACTTATGGGAGGTTTCTCTGCCTAATTTTGGGAATCTCTCCCCGCAAGACACACTACAGCTCACTCCATTGTGCAGGAACTCCTGAATCTGGGATTCTCCAGGGGTTGCCATGGAAGGCCGGATAGGGAAATCCACTTCCAACAGCGCAACTGACCCAGCAGAAACCTAACCCAATAGTAGATCCGTTGCTGGTGGGAACTGTAGGCCACAAAATTTGGGAGGCCCAAAGTTTACCATTTCTGTCTTTAAAATTGCCCTTTCAGGGAAGGAAATTGTAGACAACTGGGTTGCCTCGGTCTGCTTTACTTGCTGATGGGAACGATCCTAAAATCGGCTTTTCAGAGGTGAAAATAGGCTCTGCTAAACAGGCGTATGGAATTCTGCAAGTGGAAGGGGAAATACAGAGGTTCTGAGGTGTACCAAGGCATGCCTGTTGTGATGTGCCATCCAATCATCTTGGCACCACCCAGCAGCTTCAAAACAAGGTTCGGCAGCACCCCTTGAGCTTGTGGCAAAGTCGCAGGCTGAGCTGGTAGGGGCCAAACTGCATGGTCTTTTGGAGCCCCTTCTCAATTTTTTCTTGCGGTCCCTTCCCCCAAGGGATGCAGAGTCTCATTCCTTGGAGTTAAAACAGGGCCTTCTTTGGTTCCAGTCTGACCACGCTCCCCTTGGCCACAGATTCTTCGTGGTCTCCTGCTTCTTGGGCAGTTGTTTCTCCATTCTAAAAAGCTGGAAGACCCCTCCTAAGGTCGGAAGAGCTTTAAGCCAAATATTTTGGCTCTGCCACCTTTCCTTGGGCTCCACCCCGGCCACAGCATGGCCCTGGAGAGCTTCTCAGACATGGAATGGGACCCTTGGCCTGAAAGAGCTTCGTCACTCTTTGCCCCAGGTGGGTACCTCTTAATGCGTTCAGGTATCCATGCTTTACTGTGCCTGAGGGTCAGGTGAGCTGCTGCAGCCAGGGATGATGTGGAAACCAGGAGCACTTGGCAAGAACGGAGTGGGACCCCAGAACCTCACAGTCAGACCAAGTGTTTAACAAGCCTCTAACTTCCAAGGATTGGGGTGAGGGTGGCGTTCCATACGTGGTTAAAGCGCGGGATCTCGCTGACCTAGGTGGCTTCTCAAACAGTTAAGTGAAGCCACAGGCATGGAGTGGTGATGTTCAAGGAAGGAAGGAAAGAGGCACCAGATGGAAGGCGGCTGCGGTACACCGTGTACGGAAGTCTCTCCCATTGGACATGCCCCAGCTTGTTGCCCTGCCAACGCTCTGGAAACGGTCTTCGAAGGGTTGTGAGTTCACATAATCTCTGGGCTGATGGATTAGGACAGGGTTCCACCTCCTCCTGATCCCCGAATGTACACAAAAGGAAGGTGAACTTTGAACAGCAGCCCAATGCTCCATGAGATCTAGGTGCTTGATTCTTATTTGGTGTCCTCTTCGCTCCATCCAGGTGCGCACAATTAAGTGTATCGTATATAATAATGCACACACATTTGCTTGCTGTGTCTCTCCCTCCAGCATTAATTGTGCTTCATTAGCATCCTCCCACCCATGACTAATGGCATAATTCCCCCCATTGGCCTAATTAGATGGAGCAGCTAATTCAGCATCTTTAAAGCGGGAGGGAGGGAATCTGTCTCTCATCTCAGCCCACCCCTTGCTTCTCTCACAAAACCATTTGTCGATGGAAACCATCTATGTGTTTACTCTTTGCTTTGTTCCCCATGAAATTACTTCATTTACTGTTTCCGCCTTCCGTGCCTCTTCTGGCTGCTCATTGATCTGTTTCATGCTCACTGTCTTCCCGTCTGATCCATGTTACCCTTCCTGGATCCATGCGCAGCCTGACTCCCTATTTACCAGCCCATGACTCTTGCAAGATGCATTCACAGGTAAATTAATTTCCCTCATAATGGTATACATGCCATTCGCCTCTGTACTCACACTGCTTATGCATCCCGGTTTAATCCTCATTATCTTCTCCGTCACTCCTCTACACTTCCCCCAAATAGTCGTCTCCCTTTGCTACACATGGCTCCCCACATCTACACAAGCAGTGCCCCCTTTGTGATTGCATGTGCGCAGTCTCCACTGCTCCTTTTACACTGCCTCTTCACAGCAGCACCCAGCTTGGCTCACTTCCTTGAGCCGCCTGCAGGCACCCCTGCCTCAAAACTCCTTCCCTCTCCTCAAGACACAGTCTGGATTGTGTGGGTTGATGGCATGTGGGGAGGAAAAGGGACTGATAGACGGCTCTGGCCTGCGGCAAGGGCAAGAAGCAGCCCTGCTTCCCAGCTAGGCTAGAAATGCCTCTTCGGAGCTTTTCATCCTGTTTTGGCGAAAGCAATCTATCAGAGCAGTTTTCTGGCCAAAAGGTACGGTGGCTAAGATCGGCTGCTCCTTTTCGGTTCATCCGCCTCCATCCATCACTCCTTCCCCGTGCGAAGCCATTTACCAAGCTATGCATTTGGCATACATGTCTGCCTGTCTGTCTGTCTAGTCCCCCCGCCTGTCTATCCAGACGCGCGCGCGCGTGCGCTTTCTTAATCCTCATATCCATGTTGCAATCTCGCTATCCATCTGGCGAGCTCCATGCCTCCTGCCGAGCGAGGACTGCTCCCTCCTCCAATCGCTTACTCTCTCGGTCTCCCTCCATGCTGCCCCCCTCCAGAACCACACCCCCTCGCCGAGGTCTACCTGTCTATCATCCACACACATCCCTCTCGCTAATTGCCCCCTTCCCGTCTTCGCTGCACATTTGGACTGCGCGAGCTGCGAGGATCGCCGGGTTCCCCTCCAAATCGGACGCCCGCGCTCCGGGTTCTGGCGAGGAGCAAACAGGTGCGCCGGGCCGGGTGCGTCCGTGTGGGCAGGGGACGCCGGTTCGCACCCAGGAGCGACCTCTCCAGGGTGGGGCATCCCTGCGTGTATGCATTGTTGTGATGGTTTTCCCGGAAGGAAGGGGAAGAAGCGTTTTAGGGAGGGGGTCGCTCGGACAGAGGTGGAGGAAGGGTGGAAAACTCACCCGCTTTTGGCTCCCGCGGAAAAGGCAGCGGGAAGCTGCAGGTCGGAGGCGCAAAACGGCCCTCGCGGGGAGCGGAAGGCGACGGGGGCGCCGCGGTGGAGCTTCCCCGGGCGGCCGTTACCGCGGCGGGCTATTGTGCCTTTGTCAACATGTCTCCAACAGGCGTCTCGATGAGAAAAGGGCATGCCGGGCCGGCGGGGTTGCCCGGAATTGGTGCGGGGGCTTGGGAAGAACATGGCCGAGCGTGCGAGCTGCTGCTGCTGCTTGAGACAGGGCGCGCGCGCGAGCGACCCGAGTTGCTGATGCCGTGAGAAACAGAGCGAGCGAGCTAGCGAGCGAGCTTCCACGTGAAAACCTGCCTCTTTGCCGCGGCATCCGACGACGCAGGCTCTCGCCTGCTGGAAAAAGCTTGCGCCCCAGATAGTGTTGCAAGCGATTGTGCGCGCTTTTTGTGACTTCGTGCTGCAGCGGGCTGGAGCGGGGCGGATTTTGCACCCCAAGGTTGCGGGGATTCCAACGGTTCCTGCCCCCCCCCGCCCCGTCTGCCCACCCCCCGCCGCTGTGCATGGCAACATTTTCGGTCGCGGAGTGTGGCAAAGACGTACCGTGCAAACTGGCTTCTCCGTTTTGCTTTGAGCAAGGTGGATTTTGACGAACCTGCCGGAACAGGGATGTGGAACCCAGCTCATGACAGATTCCTTCCGAGTTCTGCTGGAAAGGTGCTTCAGACGACCTTATATGCAAGGGTGCCTTTAGGTGCGAGGCGGTTTTTGTATCCAAGGGTTGGGAATCCAGTAGAACCAGATTTGGCCAAAGGGAAGCTTGATCGGAGTCCTAGGGAAAAAAAAGCGAGTTTGTGGTTTTGCAAAGAGGAGAGCGTGTCTTCATGGCACCAGTGAGCCTTGTGTGCACGCAGCGCGTGGACGTGTGTGCCGCGTGTTCTTTTGCAGGGCATTCAACCCATGCACTGCTTGTGTTGCTGTGTTTGTTTTTGTGGGATCCTGGGTGGCTGCGCAGGAATATCTTGAGCCTTCAGTGCCGTGCCACAAGCCCGAAGAACCGAAGGCTTTTAGGTTCGGGTAGGCACGAACGCTTGGAATGCCCCCCCCCCCCCGTTTTTGTAAGTGTGTGCATGCACACAGTGCAAAATGCTACACTCTGTGTGTGGTGTTTCTGCTTCTGCCCCCATGTGCTGAAGCACCTCAGCCAACGTAATCCTAAAGCACCTGGGTATGTGTGAGACGCGTTAGGATGCCAACACGCTCTCCGTCTGGCTTTGAACCTCTCCATGCGTGTGCCGTGCCCCCGTTCACACAGTAACCGCTATGCAAGCATCTCTGGGGTCCGGGTCCCTTGGTGCATCAGAGCAAGCCACCCATCCGAGGGATCAAACGAGGGCATGCCGGTTTTCCGAACATGTGCAAGCTTTGGTGGGCAGACCCAGGCGACGAGATGCTTCCACGAATACTGCTTGTGTGCAGGAAGTGTGCGCGCGTTTTCCAAGGACACGGACACGAGCGCAAGCTGTCGTGCAGCCACGGCAAAGTGGAACCGCGTCCTTCTGTCGATGTACTTTGCCGACTGCACATGGCCCAGTGGGTGTGCCCGGTTTTTATGTGGGCCTCGGGCCGGAGGAACTTCGTGTCTCTTGCGCCTAGTCGTCTGTTGAGTAAGCTTCCAGCCAGAAGAGCGCTTGCAAAAAAAAGAAGAAGGAAAGAGCTGATCCCCCCCTCCCATCGTGTGGGCACTCCCTGATTTTAATTACTGGAGGTGTGTGTTGTGGGTGAGAAGCGGGAGTGGCTTGTGGCTTGATCTCTTGGACCCTCTTGCTGGCATCCCCGGAGCGGTTTGCTTTCTTGCCTGGAGCCCGGCTACTTCCTTTCTCCATCCGTTTCCTTTACGATGGCCATCTTTCCCCATCTTCCAGCAGGAATCCTGAACCTTGCATTAATCTGCACACCAGCAGATGTAGAAGCAGCAAAACATCACCCAGGATTGGATCTCCAGCCTGGAGAACGCTTTTCCTGTTGAATTTCTGGCTGTCTTGTGTCTGCAACGAACAGGCACTCAGTCGGGAAGAACAAGCCTGCAAACAAAGGGGAGGAGAAGCAAAGTATTGAACGTGCAAGTCACAAGTAAAGAGCAGGGACCAGAAAGCTGGCTTCCCGAGCAGATGTCTCTCCGGGTAACTTGCAAAGGGGCACAAGCTACATGGGATGTCAGATAGACCACCATAATGGCAGTCCCAGAGTTTATTGTAAGCATTGCTCTCAACTGCACAAAAATTTGGCGCTGTTGATCTCCGTCTCCCAGGCCTGAGCACCTCTCAGAACTGTGTTAATGGAAAACAATTTCCAACTGCACAGAAACTTCCTTCCTTCCGTCTGTCCGTCCGTCCGTCCTTCCAGCTGCATAGAACAGGTGTCCAACTGCATGCAAACCCTGAGTAAGCCAGACATTTACAGAAATTGGAGCACATCACAAAAGTCATTTGTGCTGCGGAGCAAGAAAAGAGGGCAGGTGACCCCGTGGTGTGCTTTTTCTGTCTTTGGACTCTGCCGTGTAACGAGGGCGAATGAATTTGTGAGGCGTTTGTGAGTGTGTGAGAGCGCAGGTGGAACAGCACATGCATTTCTGAGCTGCATGTTGTGCGCTTTTCTGTCTCTGGTTATGGGTGTGAAATACAGAGAGAGGAGTTTATGCACATCTAATTTTATGGCCACAACTGGTGCGTATGTGTGTGTGTGTGATGCTGAAAACCTTCCCCTTGTGTACAATCTCATCTTTGCCTCTCAGATTCCTCTTCCTGGAGAATACAGGCTGAAGGGGGGGGGTGGGGGGCATGCTATCCCTCCATAAGGACCTCAAAGGCTGTCACAAAAAGGAAGGTCAAGATATCTTCTTGAGTGTAGGACACGGAATAATCTATGCAAGCTGTGACAACCCAGATTCAGGCTAGATATCAGGGAAGGTTTCCTCACTGTCAGAGCAGCACAACAGTGGGACCAGCTGCCCAGAGAGGTGGTGGGCTCTCCCACACTGGGGACATTCAAGGCAAACCGGGACAGTCATCTGAGTGGGATGGTGTGAACTGGTGTCCTGCAACAGCAGGGGGCTGGACCTGATGGCCTTCTTGGCCCCTTCCAACCCCTCTATTCTATGATTCCGTATTTATTGCCACATCTCCAGAGACATTGTTTGCGTCGGTGTCTGCAGTGTTAAGCATTCCCCCTGTGTTTACTGCCAGCCATGGGGCAGTGCCTGTGCCCATGAGCTTTTCTTCGGCGTCACTAGTCTGGCAGGTCAGCCTTCGCTGTTTTGTGTGGCACTGTGGCCAAAATAGGATCGCGCACACACTGGAAGTGGGCAGAGCAGCTCACGCGGTTTCTCAGAGATATTTGTGGATGATCATAAGGGCAAAAGGTCCCTTGTTTCCGCCTTCTTGTTCACACATTCCCTCTGACACAGAGGAACACAAGGATGCCTGGGGAATGTTGTTGTATCTCTCCGTTGTGCAATAAAATTTACAAACGATCGGAGCTTCATTTGTAGTAGGAGACACTGAGTGACTTCAATTAATTCGGTTGGCTTTGTTAGAGCTCTTATCTCTAAGCAATAAATAATGCTTAATTACTATTTATTATGTATTTAACTGTTATCTACCTTTTAGAAGAACCCTACAAGTTGACATTTATGCCAGTCTGCTCTGGAGTGATTTTTGGCTCCCTGTTTTAATTACAGTTTTATCTGCTGTCATTATTTTAAGGTTATTTCATGCTCTCTTATGCAATTTCATTGTTCTCATAGGTTATAATCAAATCAGTGTTTTAGTGGTTACATTATAAACTGCCTTGGGAAGAGAAACACACTGCAAAAAAAAAAACTAAATACTAGCTTTGCTTAGGCGAATGATGCTTTAAAGGCCTGGGGAATTTTTAAAAAATGTTTTTCACTGACCCCTAAATATGCCACCATGTGGGAGTCTGGCAGTTGGAGCTTCCCTGAGGAGAAGTGGCCACAGATCTGGTGCCAACACAGGAAAGGCCTCGCTGGTCTCCACTCCGCGTGCCTCTCAGGGAGCGCCCAGAGAAGGGCCGCAGATTAATTAGGCATCTGGACAAGCCTTTCTCAGCTTTCCTGTTCTCAAGCCACGGTGTGGTTCTAGGCTGCAGAACCTTTTCCAAACCAGGTGCTGAATTCAGTTTTGCAGATGCCCTGGAGGGGGCCGAGGCAAAGGGGGCAGAACCACAAGTAAGACAGGCAGGGCTAAAAATGCCAGCATGCTGTAGCTGGGAGCTCTTGCCGCCACCCTGCAAACGTTTAGAATCGGGGGGGAGATGCGGAAAAGCCAGGGCATGGTGGGGGGACGTGGCTGGCCACTGGCCGAACAACATCAGCATCCTGAGAGATGCTGGGAAACACCTGGACAGCTCCCGCTCTTATGTCTCTGTCCCAGCTTCTTGCAGCTGCCCGAGCACCATGACGCTTCCCGCAGCGCTCGCAGGAGCCGGACCACGGCGTGGCAGCATGCCTTTGCCGATCAAGCACCAGCTCGTGCGAGCCTCCGCCGTGGACGAACTGGACTCCCCCCCCAGCTCTCCGGAGGCAGGCAGTGCCGCGGGCGCAAGTCCTGCTGGGTGTCGAGGCCCCTACAAAGTCATGCTGCTTGGAGAGAGTGGTGTGGGGAAGACCACGCTGGCAGCCATCTTTGCAGGCCTGAAAGGGGGGGCCCATCATGAGGAAGAGCACACAGGTGAGCGAGGGGGGGGGGCGGCGTGGATGCGGGGGCGGGGAGGTGGCCCTGTTCTACCCTGTTCCTCCTCCAGGTCTGTGCAAACGGCGAAGCTGCGACACATGCGGCTTCTCTTGGCAGTGCGGAAAGGCAGGCCTTGTGTTGAATTGGTTAGCCAGGGTTTCGGAAGTAGCCCATCTTTGCCCTGGACTCTTAAATGCTGCAGGAACAGCAAGGAATGGATGTGAAGGGGACAGTTTTCACATCTTGAAAACATGGAGGCCATCTTAGCACTCCCATCCGTTGCCACAAAGTGATCCTCATATAATCCATGATGTTTATCTTGGTAAAATGCTTGGACCAGCATGCAGTGCTCTCTACAAATAATTTCATTTTCCAGGCAGTTGCATACTGTTAAATCCGATGGCTTTGTTCAAGGCCTTAAACATCGGCGATTGAACCGATCCGCTAGAAACTCGGTCCGAGACAGTGTGCCAATATCGATAAAATGGCCGTCCCTTGCCCCAGATCGCCTCCATCCACATGCCTGCTAAATCGTCTCCTCTCATCAATGTCTACCCAAAATATCAGTGTTTGTTGTAATTCCACCATTCGCAATCCACGCACGCATTCAGATGTGCTTTTTTCCCCCAGAGGATTCCTACGAACGGAGGTTTTGTGTGGATGACGAAGAAGTCACACTAGTACTGTATGACATCTGGGATCAGGTAGGCCATATCTTCTCACAGAAGGGCTCTGAGTGGGAAAAATAGTATTAAGTCAAGAGACACGTGCTATCCGGTTTAAGGTTGCCACATTCAGGCTTCAGTGCTAGACCCGTTTCCTTGCGTAGAAGCCTTGCTGAAAAGGGGATCTCTTAGAATTCACAGGATTGGAATCGCAGGATCCCAAAGGTTGGATTAACTGCCTGAAAGTCTTTCGATGGACTTTAAAGCTTATCTGTGGATGAGCCTGGCAACCTGCTTAAAAACATTTTAAAATTGTTTTAATGTATGCAGGGTATGCAACCCTATGGAGGGTTAGCCTGTTGTAGAAATAGCTCTCTGCCTCTGACATTACACGCATCAGAAGAAAGGCCTTTGCTAAGCTGAGACATGCACTAAAAATAAAAAAGCTCTTGTCTTCGAAGTATTGGTTTATTGATATGCAAATGCATGCAGACTGAATCAAGTTAAGCTCAGCAGGAGGATGGAGATCTGGGATTGGATTTTCCATTTCTTGAATGTTTTAATGAACAGGCTTGGTTAGGGGAAAGAATTTGGATCTGGACTTTCGGGACTGGGAGAGATTTCATCTCCGTGAAAGTCCCCCCTTCAACAAACCTGATGTTAGTACCATGAAAAGAGTTTGCTAAAACTTGTTTAACTGAGTAACAGCCCCAGTGTAAGCAAAGTTGTGTGAAAAAAGGCATGTTATAGCCCGACAGGAGTTGGTTTGTGGCTGGGAGCAGATTATGCCAATGTTCTGGCGTTTGCCTTGGTTTTCCATTTTTGCGTTGCGCCCTTCCAGCATTCTGTACATGCATAGAAAGTGGCAGCCGATAAGAGCTTCAGCATTCTAAGAAATGGTTTAAATTTTGTTTTAGAAACGAGCTAATCCTTCCTTAAACCTAGCGGATATCTGGGCCACAACAAGTTAAATCACAGAAAATTTAATTAATTTAATTTAAGCATTTCTATGCTGTCCTTTGCAACAAGCTTCAGGACGGCTTACAAAAGATACAAAGAGTAATATAAAATACAATTAAAACATTCAATAATGACACAACATAAGCAACAGTTCATAACTAAAGAAAAAAGAAAGGAGAAAAAGAACATGTGACTGTGTAAGATTATTATCATTATTAAAATTACGGATATTAATTATTAAATGGTGGTTAAATAAAAATGAGTGAGATTTCTAGAAGAAAAGGGCAAAATACCTAAGTGTTCTCTGCAGCGCTTTGCTATGCCAGGGGACACAATCAGGAAAAAAAACTGGGCAAAAAAGGAGATGTGTTATTTAAAATACAATTAGGTTGTTCTTCAAGCAAAACTTTCAAGGCAGCATGCTGAGTTTAAATATAGTGCGTTACTTGGCAGAGGAAAAGAGTGACAAACATGAAATGTAAGCACAGTTGTCCTAAGGAGGCACAAACGGTTGTTAAGGAAGATACAGGTAGTTTCCAGTAACTATTTAGAAGAAGAAATTTCATGAATATGGAGCAGATCCTAAGAAAACCTTCCTACTATTTCGGACTGGTTTTGTTGAATGCATGCCATTGTAGTGAAAATTTATGCAAATGTGGACAACCATATGGAATTGGCTGGGATTTTAAAAATATATATATTATTTGTTTGAACAGACAGCCATATGGACATGTGTCCCAAATTCACAGCATTCCTGAAGCGGAGGAAGCTGGAGTGCCTCTTTATGCAATCCACATAAAATTACAAAACTGGTCTGGAATCAACGGGAAGGAGCGGGTCATTCAGACAGGCATATTGCTGTGGAAAACAATTGCGTTTTCAGGAGGTGTGGCAGTGTGCAACACGGAAACGCATACAGCTGACGGAGCTTCCGCACAACCAATAGCGCTTGTTCTTGCTGCATTTTGATCTTGGTTGCAAGCTGATTTGGAAAGAGTTGCACCTCAAAGTTGCAGCTAGGGAACCTTCCCATATGGCCAACTGCCCCTGAAGCACTGGATTTTCATGGCTTCCTGGCATTTGTACTATTTTTTGCTGCTCATTCAGGAAGGTTGAAGCACTTAAGGTTCCGTTTCGGGCACTAAGAGCGTCAACTTCAACTTGCTGGAGTTTTTTGGTTCTTGGCTCTACTCTTTGCTTTCAGCCTTTAAAGGCAGCACTTACAAACACCGCTTCCCTGAAATGAACAATATAGTCACTTCCATCACTATATCTGGAAAACAAAGTAGGAACGTTGACATTATGTTTATTACATTGTTTCTGATTATACCATGACTTTAAAGCAATAATGGAGAAGCCCAACCCGAATGGGAAAAAGACGGGTAGGTTAAAAAAGGAGCCATGGGGCCGAGATCAAATCAAGTTGGGATTTTCCCTAGAAGGAAGAGTGACCAAACTCAGGCTGCCCTGCTTGCGGGTAGATCGTGAGAAGGCAAAACTCCCTGGAGAAGACACAATCATGTTAGGGAAAGTCAAAGGTGGAATAAGACAGGGAAGGCCAAATGTGAGATAAAAAGGTTTCCCCTTGACGTTAAGTCCAGTCATGCCTGACTCTTGGGGCGGTGCTCATCTCCGTTTCCTAGCCGAGGGAGCCAGCGTTTGTCCCCAGACAGTCTCCGTGGTCATGTGGCTGGCATGACTAAACACCAAAGTGCACGGAACGCTGTTACCTGCCCACCGGAGTGGTATTTATTTTATTTTTTATTTTATTTTATTTAGGAGACTTCTATGCCGCCCCATTCGCCGAAGCCTCGGGGCAGCTCACATCCATAAATAAACTTCATAAAATAATATAAATTAACAGTATAAATTAAGTCGCCCTCGTCAAAGAATAAAATGAATAAATACTATTAACAATTAAAATAGTGTTTGAATAAAAAGGTCTTCGCCTGGCGCCGAAAAACAAATAACGACGGCGCCAGGCAGACCTCTCTGGGGAGCGCATTCCATAGATTGGGCGCCACCGCAGAGAAAGCCCTCCTCCGAGTACCTACCCTCCTAATTTCCTTCACGGAGGGTTCCCGGAGAAGGGCCTCTCCCGCCGATCTCAGGGGGCGACTGGGCATATATGGACGTAAGCGCTCCTTCAGGTAACCAGGACCCAAGCCGTTTAGGGCTTTATAGGTCATCACCAACACCTTGAATTGGGCCCGGACTTCAATGGGAAGCCAGTGAAGCTGACAGAGGACTGGAGTCATGTGAACATAACGCCCAGTCCCCGTCAGCAGCCTGGCAGCTCCATTTTGAACCAATTGAAGTATCTGGACCATCTTCAAGGACAGCCCCACGTAGAGCGCGTTATAGAAGTCCAGGCGGGAAGTCACCAACCCGTGTGTCACTGTCGCCAGGCAGCCGTACTCCAGGTAGGGGCGCAGCTGATGGATCAGCCAAAGCTGAAAGAAAGCACTCCCAAGCTGCGGATCTTGTCCCTAAGAGGGAGTGCAACCCCATTCAGGACTAGGTTCAGTTCACCCTCCCCGAAGCCCAATCCACCAACCAAGAGGACCTCTGTCTTGTCTGGACTGAGGTTCAGTGGTACCTTTTTATCTACTTGCATTTGCATGCTTTCGAACGGCAAGGTTGGCAGGAGCTGGGACGGAGCAACGGGAGCTCGCCCCGTCTGTGGATTCGAACTGTCAGCCGTTCGACCAACCAGCACAGCAGTTTTAACCACTGTGCCGCCCACAGTCCCTAAATATGAGATAGATGAGTCCAAAAAGCAGGACACTGCCTTGAATTGGCAAGAGCTGAGCAAGGCTGTCCTGGGTAGGACATTCTGGAAGGCCATCCTTCATGGGGTGATGCATTATATCTGCATATTTTAGCTTAAACACTTAACTAGCCAGAACTGGCTTCAAGGGAGTCCTTTTAGCCTGGAGGGGAAAAGCCACCACAGATTCACCAAGCGATGAGCTGCTAGGAGAAAGGAGGGATGCCCTGTTGGAGGCTTTCCAGAGGACCAGAGTGAGACCTTTGGAGAGGCAAGTTTAAATTGTAGGCTGGAAGTTCCCCAAGCTCAGATGCCTTTAATAGAGTAACCTCTGAGTGGACGTATGAGTAAAGTGTATTTGTGCGTTGCATTCCCCCCCAAATCCCTACACAATGTCGGCTTTCTCTTCTTCACGAACGTCTGTGCAGGGCGATCCCGAAGGATGGATGCAGGAATCTTGTCTCCAGGCAGGCGATGCCTTCCTGGTGGTTTTCTCCGTGACCGATCGTCGCAGCTTCACGCGAGTGCCCCCCACGCTCCTGCGCCTGCGAGCCGGGAGCCCTCGCACTGACCCCCCCATTATCCTGGTGGGGAACAAGAGTGACTTGGCGCGATCCCGGGAGGTCTCACGAGAGGGTGAGTCACAACGAATCACATTCCCCAAGTCCTGGGGGTGGGTTTCACTTGCACAGCTGCTCGGAGCCGGCCCAAGTTTTAGGCAGAGTGGCGCAGTGGCTTCAGGCAGCAAATGCTCGGGCGGCAAGAAGGTGTTGGCAATGGGGCATTTCTGGCTCTTCCTTCCAATATTTAGGAAAGCTTCCATTCGCAACCCAGCCATCTTCGCTACAAGAAAGGGGACAGGCATCTCGTTCTTTGCGTCAGGAAGCAAAATCTCGGTTCCATTCCAACGGTTATTTTCTGTACTGCATGTAGAGGAAGCTGCCTGGAGTTTAGAAGCTGTTAAGAGGAAATCCTTTATCTCCTCGGAGTAAAAGATAGAGAAACTAGGAGAGGTCACTCAGCTTCTCTCACTCTGCTTCTCCTCCCTGTCTCCGCTCACAGAGGGCCGCAGCCTGGCAGTAATGATGAACTGCAAGCATATTGAGACGTCGGCGGCACTACATCACAACACGGAGGAGCTCTTCGAAGGCGTCATCCGCCAGATCCGACTGCGGCGCCGTCGGCGCGAGGACGACGGCTTCAGCCGGGATGGGGCTGGGGGCCGTCGCGAGAGTCTGACCAAGAAAGCCAAACGCTTCCTCTCTAGTCTTGTGCCCCGGAATGGACGCTTCTTTAAGCAAAGGTCGAAATCCTGCAACGACCTTTCAGTGCTATGAGTCCCGTGTTCTCTTCTTTCTTGCCGCTCAAGAGGTCTCTGCGAGAAAAGACCAGGCTCTCCACAAGATACACCCCTTCAACCCCAAATGCACCAAGCCTCATAGCCAGCAGCCATAATGACCCAGAAGCGGATGCTCCAGATGCTGGCAATTCCCCTTGGTGCAACTCTGATCACCTTCAATGCACTGCCTGACAACTTTTACCTGTGTATTTCCCTTCCCCTTCCCCTTCCCCTTCCCCCTCCCTTCAATGATGGAGCATTGAAAGGATTCATTAAAAGATCCAGTTTTATTAAAAACTTTTGAGATGCTTGTAGGAGACTTTACACAAAGTAGAAATAATTTCTTGTTCTCCAGACTCGTGTGCCTGTCTCGCCTTTTCAAAGATTTCTCCAGGCACCCTCACTCTGGTGAGACCTCTTTCTTTCTTTTTGTCGACCCTAACCTTGAATGTCACTATTAAGGATGTCTTAAAGATGCCGGACTGGCACGAAAAGCTTCTGCCAAGAGACTCAGGAGTTTCTTCTGGATCTCTTTTGTCTTTCACACTGAGGTGCCCCTATTCCCTTAGAGGACTTTTTTTGAAGGCACTATTTCCTGACTGAAGCATTTGTCTCTTGTATTTGTGTACAAAGTGTCTAGACTTTTGCATAAAGCCTTACTTGTTGTGCTCCTTCGCTCGATCTTAGGAGAAGTTTTCGAGGTGCCATACTGATTTCTGTAGTCTCACACAAGACCTGGAAGAGAATCTGAGTCCTTGGGCTGGTGCTGGAAGGAGAAATGAACTTTTCTACATTTGGACACCTCACCTTTAAGGGACCCTGACCCTGCTGAAAGGCACGGGCTTTTAAATATCTACAGGAATGCTTTGTGGTTGTTTTAATATTTGCCTTTACCTTTAAGAGGCTGTTAAAGGCACCGACCAGGAGAACCGTTTGAATCTCATCCTTTGGCAGAATAGAAGATTTCACGCTTTGTGTACCTCATTTTTAAAGAGCCCTTTGGGGGGCCCTCGATGTGTCAAAATCAAACAGGCTAACAGCTGCCTTGGGAAATGTATGCCATTTACTTATTTATGCATCTTGTTAATGTTCCTCTTTTAAGAGAATTTTTTTAAGACTCCAGCAAGAGAAAGTAACCTTTTATATGCAGCCAAACACACACACACTTCTCCTTTAAGCAAAGAATCGCCTGAAAAGGCACCAAACCAAGGAACTTTCTCCTGTTTTCCTTTGCCTCAGAAGATGATTCTTTAACCTCCTTAATGTGGGACTTCACTTGCAGAAAGCCTCAGACCCTCACCTCTGCATCCCTTTTATTCAGTTAAAAATCCGATGGAGGCGTCCCTTTCCAGGAGCCTGCTAAAGGCACGGACTTCCCAGCGCCGTTGGACACTTCCGTTTTAAAGGCTGCGACTGCCGTCCCCACCTTGCCCTCTCCCTTGCAAGTGCTGATCCTCGGAGGAGGAGACGTTCCCAAAGGACAGACAGGGATTTGAAGCGTGCGACCTTGCAGGGAGGGGGACAACCGTGCCTGACAACTCTGTGTGCTCATTTTCAATTAAAGCCATTTTCTATGACACGACACCCCCGGTCGCTCGTTGTGCAGAAAGTTGCTTCGGACACGGAAAGGTGGGAGAGGAAGGACAGGGCGCCTCGGTTTCTGTCATGGGTTTGTTGGGAGGACAGCCGCAGCGGCTCGAGCCCCCCAAGGTAGTTTCCTCTGTGGAAGAGTGAAAGCTTCTGGCTCGGCTGCCCCTATAACGTGGCGCCTTCCAGAAGTGTGGGACTACAGATCCCATCCTCCCCAGCCAGCCTGGTGGTTGCTCTCTTTCAGTCGCATCGCTCAGGACTGAATGCTCTTCCTGGGCTGAATTCAAGGGGTGGAAGTTTATCTTTTAATGTCCTGAGTGACGTGTAGGGTGCAGTTTCCCAAGTCAGGGCTGGTTCCTGGATTTGGAGGATACTTCAGCAAGGCTTCCGAGGTGGGTCCCTGGTGTCCGTGGCCCCCGGAAACCCCTGCCACCCTGCTAGAGACAGAGGGCAAGCAGTCCAGGGGGTCTCCAGCTCCTCTTGATGCTTTTCTGGCCAGAAGAAGAGGCAGGCGGGAGGGGGCACAGTCCCAGGGGGTTCCTCTTGTGCCGGATCTTGCCTAAGCACAACCCTAGTCTGAGGGGCTTTGTATCTTAGCAGGGACCAGATCAGGAGAAGCTCTTGGGAAGACACCGTCGCTTTCCCCGTGTCATTCCTTCAGCGCTGCTCCCAACCCCGAGAACATGTCCTCCCCAACTCTGTGTGTGATCAAAGACGTGTCTTTTTAAGCAGCTGTTGCCGCCTGTAATGCACCTGTTATGTTGTAATGCAGTTATGGTCTTTATCTCTCAGAGGTTTTCTTCACTCCCCTGATCAGTCTAGAAAGGTGGTCAAGAAGCATAGCTGGGGAAAAATCCGCAGAGCTTCTGGGCAGGGTGCACTGAGCGATGTGGGAAGACAGGGTAGCTGTTCCTCAGTGATGAGAAAGCCCTTCTGCGCATGTTCAGTGGCAGTCTCTCCCTCTGGCCCAGGGCTTGCACCTCCCCTCTCTCCTGCGGGAAAAGATGTCCAAGGCCACACCAGGGTGCTTAATTTTTCGTCGATGCTTCTGGACGCCACCCGTCGCAAGACCACCGGCAGTTCCAGGCCGTTTGGCAATGTGAGAAGCCGCAGACCGAGAAGCAGGCGCCGGTGCAGAGAACCTGTTTAAGATGCAAGCCATGCCTCCTCTTGTCAGCAAGGGAGACAGGCTGAAGGCTCCGGCTGTCAGCGCCTTCCTGGAGGGCCTCCTACGCCGTGCTCCCTCCGCAGCTTCACTTTTCCGCAGCCTTCCTGCTGGAGAGAGAACCTGCATTTTCCCCACCGCTACCTCCGAACCCTCTGCCCTGCACTGAGACAGACCTGCCTGTGGGGAGCCGTTCAGTGGCAGCGGTCCCCTGGCGACCCCAGTCCTTCTGCCCCCACAACCTTCTGTCTGCTATGGCAGGAAGGAGGTGTGGGGGCAGCGAGAGAGGAACAGAAGACGGGAGCAGCTGCTGTTCCACAGGGGGCTTTCCTTCCCATGCTCCCAAGAAGGTGCGGAGTTGCCTGATGTTCGCTTAGGCTCGTGTGTGTGTCAAAATGCACACACAGAAATAATCGGCATCATTTAAAAGGAAGCGCAGTCCGTCCCGCCATCGTGCAGAAAATGATGGCCAGCTGGCCTGTGGATGGGCCCCCCTATAAGCCAACCAGAATGGTTCCAAGAAGAGTCTTCTCACAGCAGAGTGAAAAAGGACCAGTTTGTCTGACGGCATGTGCTTCCTGCTCCTGGATTCTTCTCTGGCACCAGATGCTGCTGTAAATCCTGGCTTTAGGCCCTTTATTTACAAATCCAGGCGTACTGAACTGCTCAAGAACAACCTGCATTATCAGCTGCCTAGGGTGTTCACCATGAAAAGGGCTAAAAGTACACAATTGTCCCTCTGGTCATTATTCAGTGCATACCTAGAAAAATAATGCAGTTGTAAATAACCGGAAATGATCAACTCCTGATCCGTCTTACCCAGAGATGTAGCCTCTGCATATGTTGGGAACGTGTTGGCTGGCCAGGGTGGGTGAGATTCAACAACTGAGCATAAACCCCCCAAACTTTAATTATATTTATATCCCACTGTTTTTTCCTTCCAAAGAAGGAAAAAAGGCAGCAGACATCATTCTCCTGCTGCTCACCATCTTATCCCCACAACAACCCTGCAAGGTAGGCTGGGTTGAGAGGCTGTGACTGGCCCAAAGTCACCCAGTTGGCTCCACGGCTGAGCGGGGACTAGAATCTGGGTCGCCTGAGTCCCAGTCCCACGCTCTTCACCACTACATTATACTGGCTCTCAACATCTAGATGGAAGTTAGGGAAAAAACCCTAAAAATTTTTTGTTTTTTAAAAAAAGCACAGTTAAAATTTAGTCTTGCTATGGGCATGTTACAATTTGGTCCCATAAAAATGAATGGCTCTCTCTCTCTCTCTCACATGCAAATCCAAATGGGCATTTTTGTTTTTCATCATGGAAAGTAAACATCCAGAGCTGGTAAGGGTATGTGAGGCCTTTTTCGTGTTTTTCTGACATTAAGTCACAAGTGCAAAGCAGAAGCTGCTTGATTGTTCTGCGCTGCAGTGGTGAAGTGAGACCAAACAAGAAAAAAATAATATTGCACGGTGGGTAAAAATATACAAATTTGTTTTACTTCAGAAAAATTGGGGAGGGGGGTTGTTACATTTTTAAAAATCTTAAGTACTAAGTTTCTCTTGAATATTTCCTAGATTGACATGTTGTGTTAGAAGAGACTTGAAGAGTTAAAATAAGGAACTGACCTGGCCATTTTTTAAACAGGAATATTTACATCCTACCCAAGCATTGGCATTTTATTTTCCAAGAATGAAAAATAATGGTGTTGGCATACCCAGCAACTCTTAAACCTTGCTTTGCCCTCACGGACATTTCCCTCTTGTTTCCTATTTAATTTTAAGGACAGGATTAGGCACAGTGGAAAAAAGAGAGGCAAAATGGACAACTTTCTCCAGCGTTAGTCTTCCTGCCTTAACATATATAGAGCATAATCCTATGAATGTTTAGACAGGAAAAAGGCATACAACGTGCAGTAAATAAACCAAGTGTCGAGATTTTAGGTTACAATTGGATAACCACTTGTCTAGATGTAAGTGCAATCGAATAGAAGGGTTCAAAAAAGGAGGAGGTATGAATAGGATTGTATTCAGACCATCATGAGCGCTGACCGTAAGATAAATGCTCCATGGGAATATTTTAAAAATATTCTTTCCAGTAGGTAAGAAATGAAAACGTGCAAAATATATGCAGTGGAACAGAGAGGGCAAAGCCTGCTAGCAGGAATGGAATCATTAAAATAAAACCTATTTAGCCATAAGTTAATATGGTTTCGTGATCAGGTGACCACCATTGTTCAGGAAAGTGGAATCATTTTCATGAGAAACTTGATTTGAATGAACTTTTTTGTTCGCTTGCTTTCAGATTTGAAGCAACTCACCTTCCCACTGGGGACTGCAGGATTTGTGCAAAACATCTGTAGGGTACTGGGTGGTGGAAAATTGGTTTGGCATCATTTTGGCATCCTTTCCAGCAGCCAGACTTTTTGCTCAGCAAGCACAGCTCCCATCACACACTTCCTTCCTGTGCCAGTGAATGCCTGAGAAAACAATGAACCAAAAATGCCCTTCCTCTTCCTCTCCCTGCACAGCCACCTTCTTACGGCTTAAGCATCCAGCTAGGAAAGGGGGATGGGAAGGAGCTGTGCTTCTCTTTGCCATGGAAACGTCCTTGTGGTCCACAGCTGGGTAGTTGCTATGGAAACGAAATGTTTCCCATTGCCATGGTGATCAACTACTGGTTATTGGAGCAAGCCATTGGCGCTTCCCATCAGTGCCTTCTGCAACAGGAATTCAGGAAGGGAGGAAAGGACACCCCCAACTATATTCTAGGTTCATCCTTAGCAAGAAGCCATGCAAATTTGAGGTGGGGGGACAAGACCGCGGTCATGATGATGATTAGTGCCCCTTGCGAGTCCTTGGGGACAGACAGCCAGTGGCTGTGGAGATGGGCGAATTGAGGTTACACGAGCAAGGCCGGCTTTTTCGAGTAAGCAGAATATGCCGACAGATTTAGCAGGCCCAGATTCAGAGCCATCTGCGGCTCCGACTGAAGTTCCACCTGGGACCAAGAAGCGGGCGAGGGAGAATTTGTCCTGCGTGAAAAACAGACGTGGTAAAACAAAAGCTAGCTTCTGTGTGCCACTCCGAACGTCTGTCAAGGGGCCAGCCGGCCAAGCCGACCCGAGCGTGCAAAACCGGCACCCCGCACGCAAGTGCGCACAACACAGCTGGAGACAAGCGAACTGGAGCTTTGCCCCCCCTTCAGCTGAATCCTGCGGATTTCGAGTCGCACTCGCAGGCTCCAGCCCTTTCCCATGCCTGCCGAGCAGAAACAAAACCTTAAGAACGGCGGGGGGGGGGGTGCGCTTGTTCACCCGACTGGCCGGGTGCGCTAGCAAGGGCCAGTAATCGGCCTGTGGCCCAGTTTCTACCCCCTATTCTGTATTTTCCAACTCTACATGTAGGAAAGGGAGTGGGTGAGAGGACAGCAGAGCGCCAGTGGGCGAGACAGACCCTGCAGTAGCCCAGGGGGAGGGAGAGAGATGTTTTCGGTGCCAGCCCTTTTTGCAGCTGGGCAAGACAAAGCCGCCGGGCCGGCCACCCACGAGGAGCAAGCCAAAGGAAACGCCGTGGGTGGGACAGCGAGTGGCCGAGAGGCAGCCCAGGGGCCTGGCCGGGCTTGAAGGGTTGCTTTGAATCACCGGGGCCGGGGCGGGGGGAGAGGTGGAGGGGCTGGCCTCTGGCCTGGGGACGGCAACCACAGCCGTCGACTTGCAGAGCTCATGCCAAGCATCCCGTCCACAGCCACGCGGGAGGCGGCCTCCCTCTCCAGCCCGTCTTGCACAGCAGCCCAGAAACAGCACCGGGCGAGAACGATCCCAGCAGGGCCCCGGCACTGGGAGTGGGCGGGCCTCCCAGCCACGCCTGGACAAAGGCGTGGGCGCTTCCGCCCTTGCACTGGTCTCCTCCAAGCCGGGGCCCGCCAGGGATGTGGGGCTGCAAGTCCCACAGCTGCCACCCTCCAGAGTATCTGCAGGGTGCCAGGTTGGGACACACACCCTTGCAGACTCTGGATGCCCTTCTTTTAAGCTGGGGGGGGGGGAGGAGACAAGCAGCAGCGAACTGAAGGGGGGCAGCTGCAATGCAGCCCAAGAGCCACAGCCGCCTCCTGCCCGACACCCCCCTTCTTCAGCCCCGAATTCGGTTCAACCGACGCATCCATTCATTCTGCTTGACTGGGGCCACGGCCTCCCACATGACCAGCTGCACATCTGCGCATCCTTCACAGCCACGGAGGACAGAAAAAAACGGCACACCGACACCTGGTTACATTTGGTGACTTTTATTATTCATTTATAAGCAAAAAAAGAAAAAAATTAAGATAAAAAGAAAGAAAACCAAAATACACCTTTGAAGGTTGGTAATGGGGGAGGGGGGAGAGGTGTTCTGAGGGACGCCGAGGGAAAGGTGCAGCAGAAAATGGGAACACCAAGAACAGGCTACAGACCCGAGAAAAAGGCGGAACGGGGAGGGGGAGGAGGGCGAGGGCAGGGAAGGGTGGAATGGGACAACATCCCCACACCGGATGCAGCCTCCTTACAGATCGAGGGGGATAACCCAACACTGCTGGGGGAAGAGGGGTTTCCCCTCAGGACCAGGCCACCCACCACCCAAACGCTGGTTCACGACTCTCCTTTCTATGTACAACAGACACAACCCGCCTGCGATGAGCCGCTTGCGCACGCCATCCAGCCCATGCCCACAACACCAGAGGGTGGGGAAGAGGAATGGCAAAGGTACACTCTGACACCGAGGCCCCTCCAGGCTCTGCCAGAAGGCAGAACAGTAAGAGATGCTGCAATCCCAGGCTGGGCGGGGAAAGGGGTCCCCCGGTCCCTCTGAGGCTCCCACATGGGGGACAATGCACCCCCTCCAATTATGATTCCAGAACCAAGGGACTGAACAGAGACACCCCCCAGCCCTTGATGGGAGGGAAATCAGAGTAAAATCCGTTTGTGTTAAGAAGGCCTCCACCCCCTGAAGGGGGGGGGCGCTCCTGCGGAGTCCATCCCCCTGCCTTGTATCCAATGGGGGGGGGGCGGTGAGGTGGTGATGGTGTGAAGATGATCATTCCCCTCCTGGCTCCGTGGGAGAGGGAGGGCAGGGGGGGAACCGGGTTACATTACCTGCAAAAAATGGGGAGACAGACAAGGGTTAAGAGGGGGCTGTGTGACACCTCTCCATGCTGCAGTGGCCACACAACCACACCCTCGCCAACCCGACACAATTCTCAGCCGTCATTTCCGGTTCTGAAAACCCCACCGTTTCCTAATCCTGAGAACATGCTGAAAATCCTTTCTTGCCCTCATTTCTCTTGCATTCCCGAGCTCCAGCCCCCACACCTCCACCCAAGCTTCATCCCAAAATGTTGGAAAAGCTGGAAACAAAAATACATTTCATTTATTGAGAGCAAAGCTTGGGGCCGGGGGAGCCGTCCACCAGCAGAACTATTACGGGCACTGCGGCGTATGCGAGGAAGAGGCGTCTGGGTGTGAGAGGGCTCACATAAGGCAGGGGGCCGGCCGTGTGGCTCTGTGGCCTGGGAGAGGTCTGGGCAAACCTGGTGGGAAAGGGCGGCATATTCGCACACCAATTCGAGAGAGTCAACTGAATTTGGCCTCGGGTCTTTAGTTGGGGGAAGACAAATAGGCACAATTAGAATTAGGAACATGTGATGCTTGTTTCTTCCGCCCCAGTCTCTGCGATTTGGCCACTCACATTGTTTGGGGAGTGAAGAGGCCCGAAAGCTGGAAGCACTGGGAGGCCAACGTCTGCGAAGCCAGGTTCAGTGCTGGGCTCAGAGCTGCGGGGGCAGAGAAGAGAAGAGTTACGACTTTTAGGGCACAATGCTGAATATATTTCGACAGAAGAAAAGGCCTGCCCAATTTTTAGCCCCAACCCCTTCTGGTCAACCTGAGCAGGCAACGCTGGTCCACGTGCCAAGTTTCATGAAGAGCTAAAAGATTCCACCCATTCCATTCTGTTCCGGGGGCACTCCATTACTGGGCTGGGGGGAGGGTGCAAGGAGCAGAAAGTCTGCACCTATCCATGGAAGTTTTATAAAAAAACCAAATGCAGTTATGAAGGGGCTGGAGCGCACGCGACGCAGCGTTCCTTCCAATTCCGAAACCCTCATGAGGGACACCCCAGGGCTTGGCAAAGTCCGCTCAACCCGACCCGGTTTACCTGTCAGGGCAGCTGGATTCAGTGCTCCCAGGGGTATCGCTCCATTGAGCTGCAGGGCAGCCTGAGCTGCTGCTGTGGTTGAGAGAGGAAGCCCAGAACCTGCTGAGGGGGAAGCACAAGACACGACACTCAGGGAAGACCAGCACTTCTCCATCCAAGGGGAACGCTCCGCCCACCTCACGGAGTCACTGCCGCAGGGCTCTGTCAGACCCACGTGCCGACATGATGTCCAAATAATGATGTCCAACACGGACGTCATATAATGGCTGAAGCTCTCCCTATTTCCTGCCCCTCTACTGTGGAAGGTAACCAACACGAAGCAAGACTGTTTGACCATTACCCTGACAGGGGCTCCTTCTCCAGTAACCGAAAGACAAAGACGCAAATGTTGGGGCACACGGACTGTTCCTCCTCCCACTTCTTTTCCCCATGTAAAAGGTGCCTGGAAGAGCTTTCGTTCCGAAGGAAGTGCCAGCGCTGACTTGGACAGAGGCAAGGAGAATTATTTAGTCCATCCATTGTGGCAGCACCGATGCAAGAAATGGCTGTAACTGGCCTACGCAGGACAGATTTTCCCACACCTGAACTGGGGGTGTGCGCGCATTTCCTTCGACATTACTCACCCTGCTCATCATCGCAACCACAACCATTTTTTTCATTTGCACAGTTTAACAGTTAAAAGCCCAACTGGTTTGGGGTATGGAAGGTCTTCCTGTAAGATCCTCTTAAGAACTGAGATCCAGAGATTTTTTTGCTTTACAGCCTGCCTTTCTTTTTTTTTAAAGAACTCAAAGCAGCTTACATCCTGCACCTGCTCTCAATTTTATCCCCAGAACTGCAGCCCTGGGAGGTAGATGGGGCTGAGGGTCTAACTGGCCCAGAATTACCCAGTCGGCTCCATGGCTGAGTGGGGACTAGAACCCAGATCACCCGAGTCCAGACTCACGCTCTTAACCACCACACCACACCCTCCTCCAAGCAAGCCGCTCCACCAGGACAGCCTATCTGCAACAGGAGCACTATTCTCCTGGTGTTGCCTCTCGTTCCACGCATCTCTTCTTCCCGCCAGATAAACATACCAGACCCTGCTGCCAAGCTGAAGTCTGGATCTCCAGCTGACTCTAAAACCAGCTGGCAACAAGCACCCACAGGGATGTTTTTTGTTCTCTGTGCTGCTTTCACCTTTCTGCCACCTGGACGTTCCCGGCTGAGGCAACGGGCCCCTTCCAAGAGCCCCTCCCTCTGGTTTCCCCCAAGGAGCTCACCTTCGGCCAGTTTGGCCATGAGCTGCAGCTGGGAGCCGGTGGTGCCGAGATTCAGGGCTGCACGGTCAGGCTCGTCACCGCCATCGGGGAAGGTGATGTCGGTGGTGCCGTCCAGGCGCTCGGTGACTTGCCCCACCCGCATGGGCCGGCCGGCCAGTTCAAACCCATTCAGCTGCTCCAGGGCACGCCGGGCACACTCTGCCTCTGCAAACTGAGGGAGAGAACCGGCAGACCCTCACACAGGTGCCTCAAGAGGGAGGCACCAGGGGGAGGAGCCCCTCCACGCAAAACGGGAGGCAACGGATACCTACCGTGATAAAGCCGTAACCCTTGGACTGGCCGGTATCCTGATCGCGCATCAACACGATGCTGTCAATCTGTGCGCAAGAAAAAGGAGGTGCATGTCAGAGCGCGGTGAGGTGCACTGCATGCTCCACCCCATCACCATTTCCTTCCTTGACTGCGACCCCCAACCTTGCCAAAAGGCTCAAAGATCCCACGCAGCATCTCTTTGGTGATGTTGCAGTGAAGGGAACCAACGTAGAGCCGCATGGGGCCCCCACTGCCTTTTTGAAGGTTGTTAGCCATGGCCGCCAGCCGGTTCTTCTCCGCCTAAGGCCCAGACAAAAGGGAGAGGGAGAGGTTAGAAGCAGTTCCAGGTAGCCTGCAAGATGTTTAAGAGTATATAAGAAATGTATTGGCTGGTTTTCCAAATGTGGCTCTCTCAAGGTAGCTAGTTAAGAAATAAATCACAGCTTAAAAGCCAACCACCATAATACATGTTCTTTCGCTCCATCACACACCTGCTTATACCAGGACCTCAGCTATACATCCTTCCCTATCAAAATTCATTCTTTTCAGTACACCCTTTTATTTCTCCCCTTCTCCTCCAAATTCCACGTAGTTTCCATCATGTCTCGTACCTGTGAGGCCTGGACGATGATGGGAACACCAAGGAGACGCTGTCCGGTCAGCCCAATGGCCAAAGGTACTGACTGGATCTCACAGAACTCCACATAGGCAATGCCCTTGGAGCGACGGGAGTTTCGGTCAGAGATGATCCGTACATCACGCACCTGCCCAAGGGAGAAAACAAATTAAATGAGAGACTGCACAACTGCAAGACCCCAATAGAGAGAGGCTCGGCATCATTTTATTTTCTGCCAATACGCTTGCCGCTGGGTGAAACACGAAAGTGAAGCGAAAGCATTCAGTCTGCATCTGAAGGGGTAAATTAAGGATGGTGAACCCGCTGCTGGACCACAGCTCCCATCACTGGACTGCCTACCATGCTGGTTGGGGCCTATACAAGTCGAAGTCCAGTTTGCAGAAGGCCAGTGGTTTGACCCACTCCAAGGACTGAAAGACGCCAGCTGCTCACGGGTGAGGAGGAGGAGAATGCTACCTTGCCAACAGCGGAGAAAAAGTCCTCAAGGTCGCGCGGGCGAATGCGGGCAGCCAGCTGCATGCAGAACACTGTGCGGGCATCACGCTCCTCTGGGCTCAAGCTGCCCAAGGGCTCCCTGTGGGGACAACAGAGCTGCTCAGAGGCCGGGGGAAGGGTCTTTGCGTCCTCTCGGTCAAACAACAATCCCCCCCCACCCCTGCCCAACACAGCACTCACCGAAGGGGGCTTTTCTCTCTGTACAAGGGGCTCTTGCTGTGTCCAAACCGCCGCCTGCAGAAAAAGAAAGAGGATGCAATGCAAGGCAGCCAACGTTAACGCTGGCACAAGGAACGGCACGAGGGCAGCCAAAAGGTGTGCTGGAGCAGGTGCAAAGTTACCTGCTTGACTCCGAAGTCAAAAGGAATTGTTCCAGGTGAGGCAGGGGCCTGGATACGAGGAGCAGTGCCCTGCGCTCCAGGCTCTCCGGTGCCACCGCACCATGTGCCCACCCACTGATGCTACTGGGGAAGCGGGCTTATGAGCCGGAGTCTGAGAGCGCCCCCAGCAGGGCATTAGGACCCCTGGCGCAGCAGGTGCGGCTGAGCCTCCCGCCCAGTTCAGGCGCCGATCACCACCAGTTCAGCTCCGGGGAGGTATCGGATGACCCCTCGTCCCTCAAGAGGACCGCTGCCATGCCCCTTACCCAGGTGGTGGGGGGCTGCGGTAGCGCACTCGTTCATCCCGCCGACGCTCCCTGCTGCGGGATCTGCTGCCCCGCCTACGATCCCGGCTGCGGCTCCGGTGGCGGCTGCGGCTCCGGTGGCGGCTGCGGCGGTCCCGGCTGCGGCTGCGCCTACGATGGCGGTCTCTGTCCCGACTGCGGCTACAATGGATTCAGAGTTCCATCTTTATTAACATTTGTATAATAATGCTTTAAAGCCTCTGCTTAAAAACAATCACGACAGCAGCCCACAATTTATACCAAACAACGCAAACATTAGAACTATGTAATTTAGAGATGTGTCCTTGCACCTCTGCAAAAGCCAAGGCAGTGGGAGGCAATTGTAGGGGCTGAGCTTTGGAGGCGACACAAGAAAAAGCACGTTCTGCAACGCCTGATAAACAGGCCTTTGCTGGTCACGGTGCCCTCAAAAGGGTATCTTAGGCATATCTACTCAGGCAGGTTCCCATGGACAGCTGGACTATCGGGCTTTTTATTAAGTATTCAGCTTTAAAGGTTTAAACCAGCACCTGAAGTTGGACATGGAAACTACTGGCAAGCAGTACAGGTCTTTCAAAACAGGTGTAATATTGTCTCCCCCCTCGTGCAGTGAGTGGAGCATCCCAACACCCTTCAAGGACCGCCTCAGGTAGGGCACTCAGCCACTGCTGAACCCTAATGTTTAGAATCAGAGAGGAATACAAGCTGCACTGGGGAGAAGGGGAACGCTGCCTTGGGCCACACCTCCCTTTTAGAGCAGGTGTGGACAACCGGTTCCTGCTGAAGGCCATGTTCCCTCAAGGTAACCATTTCTAAATAGGTAGCTATGTTATTAAAAGCAAGAGCCTTTTTAATATGCTTTTAAATATACTAAAAAGTAACAATTTTAAGTCATAGGTATGAACTGCAGGCCTGGGGCCAAACCCAGTCTTCCAGGCCCCCCCACTTAGCTCTGCCCCATTCCCACAGCCTCACTCCCTTTCCCAAACCATCAACTGAGTGGCAATTTCCAGGCTTTAGGTGAGTCCCCCCTCCCCATCCTAAGAGGTTGAAATTCCTTTCCTGAGGCTTAGTGACAGGAAGAGAGTGAAGCCACAAGGTTCTGGTACTTCTGACCCCAGCTCCTTTGGCTGCCCTGCCTTAAGGCACCACAGGGGTCTTTTCCTTGAATTCCCACATGCATAATGTCAAGGGCTGCATGTTGGTGATGCACAACGCCAGACCCAAGAGTGCATGGGCTATCCCCTCTTCTTGCCAGGAAAAGGTTCCACTACTTGCTGATTGCATGGAGAGGGCTTCTGAAATTAGCCAAAGGACAAAGGGTACCTGCTCAAGAGTTACAGGGTCCCTAACCTAGCATATTACAGGGTCACAAGGCATGGTTAAGCAAGCTGGGGGGGAGTAACCAGCTCCCCACAGAGTAACTGGAAGTAAAACTTAAGAAGGGAAGCAGGGAAGGCATAAAAAGCCTTCACCCAACTACACCGATGGTCAGCGATGGCAGCTGTGGACCAACCCTGGACCATGAACAGCCTGGAGCGAGTCCAGCAATCTCTCTCTTGCTGGTTCAACACTGCATTTGCTACTCTTCTAAAGAAAGGGGACCCAGAATGAAACCGAGACAGGCGAAGTAAACCATATGAACGAAGAGGCAACTAACGCACACACCGGTGCTAGTCCACAGGTCCCATGTGATTCAGTCCCAACCAAAATTCCCAAATCCGGCCGAAATTATGAGAGAAAGTTCTGGGCACACAACACGGGCGGATCTGCTGCGTGGCAAGTTGCCTTCCTCCCGATTCCCTTTGGCTGCCCTCAGATAGACAGGCGGCAGCACGCTGCCAGGAGCGTCTTCCCACGCCAATTAGTACCGCAAAGGAGACGAGCCCTCCGCCCCCGGTTTTGCCCCCTGCCCCAGCCTGGCTGCCGACCCATCTACTTCACCTGCACAACCAGCCCTACCTATGCCTGTGGTCACGGCTCCTGCTACGACTCCTGCTCCTCTTCTTTTTGCTGCTGTCAGGAAAGAGAGAGATGAGAAATGTGCTGGAGGAAGGAGGGGGAAGGTGATGCCAGAGGGAGCCGCTGACTCACCTGCTGCTTTCCCCACTGCTGCTGGGGGCACTGTCTTTCTTTACTTCTTTTCCTTGCTCCTCCTGAGGTGGCTGGGGAAAAGGGTCGGAAGGAAGGAGGTCAGTGTGCGGCCCACCCCTGCCTGCCTCCCTCTCCGTCTCGAAGGCTCTCCCCTTTCTGCGTCTCCTCCCCATCTCCCGATCGATCGCTTTCATACGTTACCTGTGCTGTGGGGGGATCAGCCGGTGGCTTTGAGGGTCCTGGCTGGGCCTGGAGCAAACACAGGAGGGGTGGGCCCAGCAGGAAAGGGTCACTGAGAAACACAGGGAGAGGGGGCACACAGACTCTGCAATCCTCACCCCACTTCAACTAAGGTCATTTCCCCATCATACTGCTAAGTATCCTTCTGAGATGGGGTAGTACACGTGAAGAAACTGGAGGAACGACTAAAAGTCCAACTAAGAAAGTCAGGTATTTTAGGAGGAGAACAAAGTCCAGTGGAGCAGGCCAGGATGCCAACCAAGCTTCACCTTTAAAAAAAGCTTGTCACTGTTTTGCCCAGTTAAGGTGGATAGAAGGAATTTCACATTACAGGTATGGGACACAATACTAGTATCTCCCTGCCCAGTTAATGCTTGAATAGTTGTTCAAGAGCCATGAATGTGAACCGTTAAATCATTTTGGAATATCCTTAACTATGAGACAGAACTGTAATTCTTATTTAGTATCTATATTTCTCCTACTGACCACCTTAATGGTTGAAACTCCTTTGGGAATAGGTACTGCAAAGTACACAGAATACAAGCGTTTCTTAATAATGTTTATGTAGTGCCAGAGATCTTGATCACTTACCTTTTTAATTGTCAAATTATTCTAAAGACAACTTACATATTCATAAAATTATTCTATATTTTGATGCATACACAAGTCATTTCCTAACTTCATTTTTGCTTAAGGACTGGGAAATATTTATTCTCTTCTTTGTGCACATGCTTACAAATCCCCTCACCATTAGTTATGCTAATAAGGCTGATGGTGTTGCGCCTGTTCAGATATTTTGGGCTACAAGTTGTCCATCCTGTCTTGCTGTACAAAAAAAGCAAAGTTTTAGCCACTATTTAGTTTGCTGAAAATACCAGTTAAGAGTTAACTGAGAGAACTCAGTATTTCTTCAATTGTCAAAATAACATTTTGTGGACACATTTCCCCAGAAAATATTCTGATTTCTAAGACAAAAATACTGCAATTGTAGCATCTTACTAGATGTGTTCCAACTCACAAATATATATCCCCAGTTACAGAATTTTCACCTCGGTATCAAGGAATGGGTGAGGGCTTTTGGATTTGAACTGCATGGACCTAGGTTCCTTGGAGATTCCTTTGCCACGGCGGCAATTACAGCTTTAACTGACCTGCACAACAAATACCAGGCAAGAGGGTGGGGTGGGGGGCACCGGCAAAGTCATAGCTCTATTTTACATGAGACTTGCTTCCCAGGAACAGAATTTGAAGCACTTTAGATTAACCCTGAAAGGGGTCTCTCCAGCCAGTACACACTCTTGGCATACTTTACGCTGCTGCAAAGTTTGCATGTTATCTGGGAGGAACAGGAGACTGGTCTAGGGCTTGTGTGGGGAGTGGAGAAGACCGAACTACTGGCTAACAGAAATGAAGAACTAAAACAAGCAATGAAGAACTAAAACAAGCAACTGAACTCTACTGATCCATAAAGCCTGTCCCAGAATGTTCCTGATTATCATTTAGGCTATGAAGGCTAAAACATTTGTATCTTATGCTTATAGCAGTGTCCCAGGGTTCTAGACAAAATACCGCATTATGCATTCTTGGTAGCATGGCAGGAAATACTTCTCTACAGGCTGGGCCTGCTGCTGGCTTCAAGATTCCAGTCCTCACCTCCTCTTTCTTGTAAGGAGCCTCCAGCATGGCTTCTATCACAATATCAAAGTCATCTGAGGCCATGCCGTCCTCATGGCTCTGTAAGGAAGAAAAACAAAAGACTTAGATTACAAAGAATCCTTACACAAGGGCCAACACCACCACCATCCCAGTGGAAGAGAGAAGGTGGTGAGAGTGGATACTCACTGGGTCCTGGGATGGATTGGGGAACGCCGGATCCATGGCTGGCCCAAGTGGGTGGGCTCCCCACCACCCCGAGACACAGGAACGGCTACTGCAGATGGGTTTCTAGCAGGCCAAGAATTCAGTCACAGCCTGGAAAAGAGAGGCGTGTTACTGAAACTGGAAAAAAAGGCTACGTAGGAAGGGTGAGGACCACACATGTTGCTTGGATACGGTTCATTCTAGATTGCAGAACAGAGTTGCATTCTAGAACCTAACCTGCCAGTCTGGAAACCAACCAGTAAACTATGGAATTCTGAAAGAGCAACAAACAAGCATGAAAAAGCCTTTCAAGCTGCATTCCAGCCAGCTGCACAACTAAGGTCCTATGACAACCTGCCCTTCCCTCTTCACCTGTTCTACAATTTATCCTAAGAAATTTTCCCTCTACTCACAGAACTATCAGAACATGCCTCAGAGTCTAGAATAAACTGACCTCTACTTGTCCCACTAGATTACGGTGCACTTCTAAAATACTGATTGCTTTGGGAACGGAACAGGAGGGAGAAAAAGACAAAGACATTCGGTTTGACAAGTTTTTAAGTCAACGGACTGGGAAAGCAAGACTGAGACAACATTTTCAGGTGAGGAAAGGCTACACTGACAGGCTGGATGTCCACATGGTGGGCATGTCATGAGTGGAGCCGGCTGGTGCTGGAGGTCAGACTAGATGGCCCGGGAGACCCCTTCTGACTCGCTCTGTTTCTATATTTCTGTGTTTTACTTTTAACTCACTTGTGCTTATTTCTATGGGACTCTGCTGACGCCTGCACTCATTAGACATGACCCTTTGTACACTTATCTGGAAGAAGCCCCACGGACTTCAAAAAAATGATTCCAAGCAAACTTCTACAGACAAGCTTTTAGCAGAACAGGACTGGCACTGCCTATTTCCCTACAACAGTGGTTAGCTGGAAGTTAGCTCTCCAGACTTAGAAGTCCCTGACTGTACAGCCAATGGTCCACTGAATTCCAACATGTCAGGAAAACTACTTTCTGCCTGCCCCCGTTCTACAAACAGGAAGATTTCACAGGCAGTATAAAATTTTACACTGATTCTCGTCAAAGCATTGTAGCAGTTGAGATTCCCTCCCAACAGGAGTGTTTCTCAACCCTTCTGAACTTCAGCAGTCTCCTAAACTTACTCAAGTCATCTAAATTGCTCATCAGCAACCATTTCTTCACCAAGTGAGCATTAGGAAGCTCTGTATGTGGCCTCATGTATGTCAGGAGTGTAAAGATCTTGACACCAAGGTATTAATCCAAAACTGACATTAGAAGGACCAGAAGTGGGCATCTCAAACTCCCTAGAGAAGCCAGCCAGGACAAAGGATATGAAAGGGGGAAGTGCTGTGGCCAGAAGCTCTTGTGCCTTTCTTTGACACAGTTTTTACAGTTAGCAGTACAATAAGGAGCTGCAACATTGACCTTCTATTGTTGGTTCTAACTGCTACCCAGTCCCCTTCCTCCCTTGAACTTCCCTTTGAAATTGTGAACGGCTACCCTAAGAGATCTGATAATAGAACCAGGTATGCTTAAGATTAAGAACCACCTGCTTCTTTCAGATGTAATTAATATAGTTGCAAAAATGATGGATGGTAACACACAGCCTGTAAATATGAGGTGATAATTATTATTTCATTTCTATGCTACCACATAGCCACAGCTCTCTGGGGAGTTTATAACTGTCTAGGAGATGTTTTACTCTGAAATTCTCAAGTACATGTATGGGAAGGAAACCACTCTACAGCACTCTTTAAAGACATCAGAGTTCGCAGTTCTTGCCTCTGGGCAACTGAATTTACAGTATTATCCCCAAGAGGCCCCAGCACACCACACTTCTGTCTTGGGACTTCCCGAGAACTGTTGCTCCAACAAAAGGACTGAGCCACTTACTCTAGTCTAGCACAACAGTGGAAAATTTCTTGGGACACAGAAGAATATTTAACTGAGCAAGCACTTTCCACTGAATTATCCAGGCAATGGATATGTGAAGACATGGAAAAATACCGGGTGTAAAACAACCTTTCCCCCACCCTATTCCCTGCAAAAGATAGTCATCCTTGAGGGGAAAAGGTTTTTTTTTTTTTAATTCTTCCCAGGCCTTCACACTTCTGAAAACCAGAAAGACCAAGTGGCATGTATTGGAAAGCCCTGTGCAAGAAACTCCTTGCTCTCTCTGTAGAAGCTCCTACCATTTCTTGCAGGAAAGGCAGCTTTGAAAGAACAGACTTTCTACTGAAGAATTAAAAGTGCCAGGCACAATTGACCAAAACTCATAGCTCCTACATAACTCCATAACTTGTACTCCAGTGCAAACCTCCTGCCAACCCCACCACAAATGTAGGACAGCATCCTTAGCTTCTACTTGCTTAAATCATATGAACTCTGGGAAACTGAAAAAAATGCCAAGTAGACTGCACATTAAGTGAATGCATGTGTATTTGCCTAGGATTTGGGCTCCCTTATAACAAACAGCCTTTTGAAATGTGTCTAGTCTTAATAAAAGCTCATGGAGTAATATCTGGATACTGCTGTACCCAGGTGGGGCAACACATTTAGCTATCTTAGACCAATGTTCCAGGCATCCATGGCACAATTTTTTAATTATTCTAGCAAGGCCAAGATTCAGAGTTGCCAAGTTCTATGCTACAGAATAAATAGCGGAAGCTACAATATGATTGCACTAGTCTGCACTGCAGAAAGCTAGCACTGTAAAATTAGAATAACGGATCTAACCAACTTTTACTGGGAATTCAACTGGACCCATGGGATCTTCCAATCTTCATAATGTTGGAAGCAGGACTGGGGAACCCACAGCCATCAGATATTGTTGGATTAACTTTCCTGCCATCCATGAACATGTTGACTGTAGCAGGTAAGAGCTAGGAGTATAACATCCAAAGGGCCAAAGGTTCTCCACCTTCCCTAAGCAGATGCAATGTTTAAATGTCTTTATCAAGATGACTGACCCTCCAAGCTTAAAGGGTTGTTCCCTCCCTAGACACTCTTTGCTCCTTATTTTAGAACATCCACTTTGAACCAAATCAACTGCAGCTTTAATGCTTCATAATCAAATATTCCAGCTTGCATGTTTTCTACTTGGAAATCCACCAGTAGCTTCATAGAAGGCATATACCTGCAGCTCCAAATGCATTGCCTCATATGAATATTCCTAAATTACCTCCCCACAACCTAGTGCTACCCAAAAATGTTAGCTGGCAACACCAGGAGTTGTAGTTCAGAGCATGTACAGTGGCAGACTGAGAAAGGCTACTCTACAGAAGCCACATGGACTATTAGAGCACTTAGTGGATAGTCCTGAGTCCCCTTAGTAACGAAACAAGACACACTTCTCTTCTCATCCTCATTTGTTTACTAGATTTACTTGTTCTGGGAAGTTACGTATGCAGTTGGATATAGCTTATTTGTGTCCCCAATGCAGTGCCCAACCAGATGCATAGGACTGCAAATCCCAGTATTCCTGACCTGTGGTCACATTGACTAAGACTTAACGAAGTGATATTCAACACATCAACATGGTAAAGGATTGAGGAAGGCTGTCCTATATGTTTCCTTAGTTTTAGACTTTCTCTCATGTAATTCTGAAACTTTCCGGAGTCCCATCCACCCAATCTAAAGGCAGGCACCTTTCGCACTGCTCCGACACTCTTTCCTAAAGCGATCTTTCCAGGGAACTCCAGCCACTACCCAGGCCTTTTCTTAATAGATCACATACTCCTCACAGATCACTTAATACGCTCTTATCATCTGCTCCTCTCAAACATGAAAATTAAACCAAACACAGAAACTTGCTCACAACCGTAAGTTGCCAGGGTACACAAAGTGGGGGGTTTTTCCAATCCAAGTTCCTATTCGCAAGGACGCAAGCAGAGAAATGGCAATTTCTGCACTTTAAGATCGCAATCCAACACGCATTCCCCGTAAAGTAAACCCCAGTAAATGAAGCAGGCTCTCCTCTGAGTAAACGTACGCAGGCCTAACGCCAAAGAAGAAAGGAAGCTCAACAGGATAGGATGCCATCTTGTACCTGAGGTATCCAGGCCTCCCAGTCTCCCGCTTCCCATTCACTTTCGCCACAGCACCGCCTTATGTCCTGCTTTCTGCCTACAGCAGCTCTCGAAGCGTCTCCCACGTATTGTAACACACGTTGTATACACAAAGGAGACACTAGACAGTGGTACGTCTGAAGCGCTCTCGAGTTTCCTGGAACTCCAAGTCACAACTCGCTCCCGGCAAAAGGATCAACCTCGCCGCCCGCGTCATACCCAGCGCACGCAATCGCGGAGAGGAAATAGCACGGCTGGCTAGCGCTCTCATGGCGCACACACCGCCATGTTCGGCAAACCCGGCTCTCGCCTCCGAGGCACCATCTTGTTACCTGCGCCCCCCCGCCCCCATATCGCCTACCTGGCCTCCGCCCCCCTCCCCCACCCCTGCGGGGAGGAAAAGAGAAGCCACCCGAGAGGTGAGGCCACGCCCCCGCCGGAGCCCCGCCCCTCGCCCCCTCCCGGCAGCTGCTCTGGCGCGATTCGCGCTCCCCCCGTTCTCTCCTCAGAACCGTGGGAGTTCTAGAAACCCGTCCGGCTGACGTCACCGCCGCGGTCGTGACGCCACAGCCACCGCCGCTACCCGTTCAGCGGCTCCGAGCCCCGCTTCAGGCCTCTTCCTCGAAGTCACTCGCTCGCTCACCCACCTCCCCCTCCCTTTTGGCCGTTAGATCCCGGCAATCTTTCGGCCCGGGTCGGCTCCGAGTCTTTCGGTTTCTCCTCAGACGCGGCCGCAACAGCAGCAGCAGCACCAGCGATGCTAAGATGGCGGCGGACACTTCTCCCTCCAGAACCTTCCCCCTCCCTTCTCCTTCTCCTCGCGGGGGGGCCGTGGTGCGCAGGCGCGCGTCTTTGACACTATTGATTGGCTAAGAGGGGAGGAGGAAGAACGAGACGTGTGGAGGGGAGGGAGAAAAGTTGGATGGTAATTGGCCCGGCTGCGGCGAGAAGGCGGTATTTCCATCTGTGACGGCGATGCTGATTCGATAATGGCTCAGAAAGACGTGGGTTGGGTTTTCCTATCTTTCCGCCAACCCCCACTTCTCGGCTCAAGTGAAACCAACGCTTGTAAGTTGAAGGAGGGTTAAAGGCGGGATCTACTTACAGTTGATTGGCCAAACGAATGGAAGAACAGTTAGAGCGAAGACCGATTGGATAGAAGAGTGGAAAAAAATCCCAGCGGCCTTGTTCACAACGCCGATCTTTATTGGCGAATGCTACTGAGGGGCAGAGCAAAGCTCCGCCAATCAACATTTCAATTCACGAAAGCACGGCCAGCCTCCTTCGCTGATTGGACAAGATAGTCAGGCGGCAACCGAAATCCTGATTGGTTGCCTCGCCGCCGCGGCTGTTGTTGTTGTTGTTGTGGCAGGGCGTTTTTTCAGGCAGGTGGTCGAAGGTCACCAAACTCGCTTGCCGAAAGGGGGCGGCGACTGCGCAGTTTCCATAGCAACAGCGGCCGAGCTCGCTGGGCTCTTACGGCCCAATGGCTGCCGCAGGAGCCAATCGCCCGCCCCGCGCAAGGCGAGCCCGCCCCTCCCGGCGGCGCCTGTGCTTCAAGATGGCTTCCCTCATGCCAACCCCTCCAAGCCCAACGTCGGGGGCACTAACGGGCAGCCGCCTCCCCCGCCGCTTCCAGGCAGGAGGAGTCCCAGTTCCTACTGGGAGAAGCTGGGGATTGAACCTCGGCCACTCTGTGTCTAGGCAAGCTGCACACCTTGGGCAGCATTTGCTCCACCTGCAAACCTTTGTTTCAGCCACTGGGATATTTATTTATTTATTTATAACATTTTTATGCCACACCCGTCGCCGAAGCCTCGGGGCGGCTTACAACAGATGATACATTGTCATCTGCTCTTCATTGGTCACAGTCCTGTTGGCTCACTCATTTCCCCCTCGTGTACAGGAATCTGGTATTTGTTGCTTTGAGCGAATCTCTGCAAAGCCCATTGTTTCAGTCTTCTCCAACCTGGTGCCCTGCAGAATGTTACGGTTGCCTGTAGGGGGGAGGCAGAGCATGTGGAAGGCTGCATGAAACGTTTGACCCTTGTTGTGTGACACCTACAGTCAGAAGGGGTTAGGGAATGCAACAACCGTCCAACAACTGTGGATCAGGGCAAAGGTCCAGCACAAGTGCACTTCTGGCACAAATAGGGTCTTGGAATTGTGAACCTCTTTTTCAGCCCCCACATCCAATACTCAACAGGAGCAGCAAATGCCTTTCAACCCAAGGACTGAGTTCCCTTTTGGAGACGCTCTGGTGCGCCACAGTCCATAGAGGGGAGAAAAAGGGTGCAGCCCAAACTACCAAGAACAAGCTTTTTTTTTCACGTCAAGCTTACTGACAGTAACTAATTGGATGTGGCGACGAACTTTCTTAAAAGCCAGGAAACCATTTGAGAAGTGGTAGTTGCCGGTTAGACCCAGAGGCCCTGATCTAGCTCACGGGTTCTTCACCCCTGCTCTAGACAGGAATGCTCTATTTTGCTATCATGGCCGGCATCTAGCAATAGATGTACGTACTATGCCATCAAACTTGGTAATACTGTCTTAAAAGCCATCCGAAGTCTGCAGTTGTGCCCATGCCATACAACTGAACTCCAGAAAGGCTGCACCACTTTACACAGTTCTTGCTTCCTCACGGACAGCAGATCTAAACACACATTTCAGTGACTTTATTGAAATTCCACTGACCAGAAAAAAACACGATCAATACCAGAGAAGGATTCGAACAAAGGATGTTCTCCTGACCTTCTCCTGCTGAACACCTGATGCCTCAATACGGGAAAGGAAAAAACCAGTCTCTTGCAGTAACTCTGGAGCGGAGGGTCTTTTGTGTCTCGAGTTGGAGGCAAGAGGAACTTTAGGGGAAAGGGCCGGACTGCTGTTCACAGTCCAATGGTGTAGGAACGTCCGGTGGGATTGTGGATGACAGAGCATGATGGAGAGACCACAGCCCACTCGTACCACACTTTCTTGGAGTTGCTGCAACGCCAGAAGGCCACTCGGACGCGGTCCCCTGCCTGTACGCCTATGGGTTGCTGTGGGGAGAAAACCACTGTTAATATGTTTCCACAGATCCTAACCAAAGCCCTAAAAGTTGTAAAGTAGGCACGCCTTCATCCTTCCCCATTCCTTTCAATATTTCCCGTGAGTAAATATGAAAGAAATACGATTACAATTCTGGAACATTTTTTGTTCTGAGGAGGAAGTCGGACTCGGCAGCAGCTCTTCTTTCCTCCGTTCATAGCAGTTGTATACAGATTGTTATGATTGCTGATTTTGTTGGCTGCAAAAACCAGTTCATAGAAAAATCCCAAACCCCCCACATACCTTCGACCACCCCAATGTACCAACACAAGGAAAAAAGGCATAAAAAAACAAAATGGAGAAAGCCAAGGAGAATCAAAACAGCACAGGAAGAGGGGTGGAGACCAAAGGCAATGCAAAACCCAGGAACAGCGTCAGAAGCATAGCTTCTTTTGTCTCAGAAAATAGAAATCAAGCGTCCTGGAACACAACAATATTCGTCCTCAACAGAAGTGCAGGTTTCCCTAACAAAAAAACTCCTTAGCACTCCATGTAATAATGTCCAATCTGAAACATACTGTCCCAGACGGAGCCTTTAAGGAAGCACTTACCTTGATGGGGAAGAAAATGGGGAACCATGAAAACATTCCTGGTGAGTGAGTCTCAGGCCGAATACCTAGGAGGAGGGAGGAGGACACTGAAAGAGACACCCTCAGCCCCATCAAGCGATCATTACGCTCTGCTTCTCTTTCCCAGCCATGAAGAATTTCATGTCTCGCCCCTCGCCTTACTCAGAGTGATGTCTCCATAGAGAGTCGTCTCAAAGTAGCCAGCAAAACCGTGAAGCACTGTGTTCACATCGACCTGGAACTCGAGGGACTGGTAACGGTTGTTGTCTTTGACAATGTCTACAAAACAGAAAAGACCGATTGGGGGGGCTGAGGCACTGACATCCCCACGCAAGGAGACTCAGATGCGCAAAACCCTATCCTGTAAAGGTGGGGGGAGCAGGTGTTCCCTACCAGCTCTGGGGTGTGGGTCAACTGAGGCTTTACGGTGTGGCAAACACCATCCTGTCCTCCCATCAGCAGGAGGGAAGGCAAGGCTAGCCCAGGCCCCAGTCTCTGCAACTCAGCAGGCCTACCTGGATTCGGGTGCTTAAAGGAAAAGCAAGCTTTTGGAGGTGCTAACTGGTGAAAGTTGTGAAGTCGGACAACATAGGGCATTTCAAACTGGGCCTGGAGAGGAGAAAGGATAAAACAAAACATGCTCATTTGAAAATTCTGTCTCACACACAGGCAGAAAGTTCTTCTTATACCCAACCAAATCCAGTTAAAAGGTTCATAATGTCTTCCCCAATCCTGACCTTCCAGCTTCCCTGGAAAGAGGACGGGTAGCCGTCCAAAATGTTCAGGGCATCTTTCGAACAAATACTGACTCTCTTCAACCACTGATTGACTGACTGAAAGTGCTGAATTCAGAAGAGCATGGAGCAAGGCACTGATCTCTCCCATCACTACAGACCATGTTACTACAAGTACTATGTCTTTACTCTGACTCCTTCATATGTGCATTAAAACCAAGCTACTAGTTCTCAGGGTACAAACTCTCCACACTGGACTAGCTCTAGGCTTGTGCCACCTAGAACTGTGCTGAAAAGGTGTAAGTTTTGCTTTTTAAACACTAAGCTTCTGCAATCCATAAGACTATGTGCCTAGGCTTGAAAACATGTGAAAAATGCAGGTGAAGCTTCAGAATTCATGGAATTCCCTGGGCTAACTGAGCCAAAAAGGATTTCCAAGCGCTGTCATGCACAGTTATTTTCTCCTTTCTGTGAACAGCGTTAAGAAAATCTATCATTAAAAACCTATGCACATTTTACAGGTCTGTATTATTTCCTGGAATGATATAAAAAGACAGAGTGAAAAAACTTAAAATTTGCAATACAGATACAAAACAAAACACACACAAACCCAAAATCCCTTATAGAGTAAGAATACGTGTATTTATTCTTGTATTTATTTAGTGAATACTAACTGCAAATTACCTCAGGACCCATTACTGAAGAACCAAACTGGTAAAACAAATTATTTTACCAGTTTATTTTATTTTACCAGAACATATTATTAACAAGTAACCTTGCAAGTTGTAATAAGCATCCTCAGGTGGAACCAGCAAAGGGAAAGCAGACCAGACAAATGCACTGTGATCTCAATACCCTCCTCAGAAGCTCAGGACATGGTCCTATGCATGTTTAGACAGAAAAAAGCCATACAACTGCCCGCATTCCTTAGCCAGACCTTCTTCTGTCTACACGTGCATGTAATTCCTCTCCAGATGCAAAAGCAGTATTCAAAGTCAGCCGTGCCTGCATTCATGCAAGCACTGTGCCTCACAGCAACGGGAGTTTGCTCGGAGAGGCAAAGAAAATACCTTACAAGGCTGCATTTCTAGTAAACAGGTCTGATATGCCTAGCGGCTGTGCTGGGCAGCCTTCTCAAGTATCTATTCTGCCTTATGGACTTGAGATAGTTGAGTGCCACCCCCGCAGCATCATGCATGAAATGATACATGGGGTCAGAGTGAAACCATGTCATTATCCAAAGTATGTCCAAACACCTTGGAAGAATATGGCCAGATATTTAAATGCAGCCAAAACAACAATCTAAACACATCTACTGAAGGACTTAGCTCTGTTTTATAAAACCTCACGCCATAACAAATGTGGTAACCACAAGAATCTTGGCTGCTTTAGCTGAATTTAAATTTCTGCTTTTGTATCCTTCCAAATAGGTGTTCATACATAAAATTAAATAGTTTCCTTCTTTTCACCCTTTTATCTAATTTTTACTTGTGGCTAAAATTAGTTCCATTTTCTATCTCTGGTTCTTCTCTCTCTCTCTCTTTCCTTCTGAGACCACAGATTCTGCTTAGCCTCCCTACAGAATTGTGACTTTCCTTCAACACGGAACAACCCCGGAGCTGCATCAGAGGGGAGAGGAAGTCCTACCTCGGGGTCTCGGTCTTTCTCACGACAGGCACGCACTTCGTTGTAGAGCTTCGAGGACGAGATTGGTCCCAGGAACGAGGTATAATCACAGGGGATGCTCACTCCCCCTTCTGCATAGGAAGAGAAGTTAAAGAGCGTCAGGTGGTGGTCCCTCCCGCTTCACCTGCTGCCAAGCTCCACAAGGCTGAACTGAGGGAGGGAGGGAGGGAGGGAAGCAGAGCCGTTCCACCAGCCGCCTTGAAAGCCGGCTTCGTTTTTTCCTTTCCTTCCCATCCCCCTTTCCCGGTGTGTTGTGTCTTTTTAGAGTTGAAGCTAGGGACGTGTGAGGAATCAACCCGTGGGTGGGGAGTCTGTTGGATTCCCTGGGCTTGGCTTCCCAGACCCCAGTCGGCTTTGCAGCAGCCCAGAGACCCAGTTCCTGGAGTGCGCCCAGCATTCCAAGGGCGTTGCAAGTAATCAAACCCCATTCACCGCAGGCACAACACCCCCTCTCACGCGCCAGGAACGCCCGATCAGATGGCGGCTGCTCCTGGCGCCGAAAAAGGCCGGTTACGGGGCGCTCACCTGAAAAGCAGCTGCCCCCAACCTCTGTGCAAGCAGCGTCCCTCTGCCATGCCAACTGCAGCCACCTCTGGGGCTGCGCAACTGATGAGGCAAGGCAGCTGCCGGATGCCCAGCTGGGGCCCCATGAACTTTCGTGCCCTTCCTCTCAGCCCCCTCTGGAGGGCCTGGCCAAACCCAGAAGGAAGCTCACGAGTGCGAGGAGGGATGGATTCGGGCAGAGTTAGCCCCAGTCCCGCTCCAAGCCTTCGCTCAGCGCAGGCAAGCTGCTCCGGAGCCCTTCTTGCGCGAGGAGTGGGGTGAAGATAGCAGGCCGATAAAGAGAAGTTGCTACGGCTGCGTGGAGGTTGGAGCCCAACTCACCCACCGAGGGTGACGATGCTCCCCCTCCGCCCTCTGATGCAGGAGGCCCAAAGGGCACCACGTGCCGTTGAGCTCCACCCCGACCGTGGGCCATCTTGGCTGCGCCCGCCCCCCCACCGCACCTTTGAGGCAATGCTGCGCGCCGTCCAGACACTCCGGGGATAGCTCGTTGTCAGCGAAGGAGCCCAGCAGTTCCGACACCATGAGGTCAGCCTTCTCGGGCGCTTCCCACTCCCGCATGTCGCAGGAGACCACCGTTACCTGGGAGCCCCACTCCTCGTACTGCCAGCTCTCCAACCTGCGGGGCGGGAAAGACGCCCCCAAGGGCTTGAGCCAGTGGCGGGATTTCTCCGTCATGCACCCAGCGGTCTTCGCGAGCGTTTGGAGCTGCTGGGCCAGTGGAGCAGGCAATGCCCAGGTGGAGCACCTCAGTCCCGCAGGTACAGGACTCGGTTCCATCAAGATCCCTTGCTAGCCCTTTCCCTCCCTCCCTCCGTGCTCCACAGCTCCCCTGCCTTGCCACCTGCCACCCCAACACAGGGATCCAGGTGGCTTCTTAAATTGCCCATTTTGCCTGTTGTGATCGCATTATCCTTGTGTGGCTTCGTAAGCCACTTGTGCAGGATTCGGATCTGGAAAGGGGACATGCAAGTACTTGTGATAACTTTTGTAAGAATGGAGAGCGAAGTGGTGGCTGAAAGGAGGTCCTGATGGGGGAGGAACCAGGTCCTGCTTGCGGGTTCCTCCTGGGCAGCCGGCTGGGCTAGAGGGCCCCTTGGCCCGGTCCAGCAGAGCTCCTGGGAGTGCTGGATGTTGCATCCGAAAGATGCACCAAGGCCCTTCGGGTGGAGCCTTTCGCACACCCCAGTAGGGAAAACCAGCAGGGCTGCGGGTTGCCCCCCTGGCCCCGCGTGGCAGAGGCTCTTCAAGAGCATTTGTCCGGCAATGCTCCCTGTTTCCCCCACCGCTGAGGATGGGGAAGTGGCGGCGATCGCTCTTGCGACTTCAAAGCTGGGAGGAAGGGGGTCGGCCGGTCCCGCTCACCAAAGGACAGTGCCAGACTCTTCTATGTAATGGTGATGGATACAAATTTAAAAAGAACAAGGGGGAAACGACGGTGCCACACTCAACTTGGCGGGCAGGCTATTGGAGCCTGTTTTCAAACAACCCCAAAATGAAAAATGCTGGGCCATGCACACTGAAAATATTGCGGCCAAGCCCTGCTTGCAGACTTCCACTTTAAATCTAAGATGAAATAACGGGGGAAGGAGAATGGAATGTAAGTCCAGACTCTCCCCACTTGCTGGTGCTGTGGAACCAGAGGGGATGTTCGCTTTCCCAAGTGGAAAAACAACACGAAAAACCAATGAGGGGGCCCCAAAGAGGTCCGCCTGGCACTGTCGTTACTGGTTTTTCGGCGCCAGGTAAAGACCTTTTTATTTAAACATCATTTTAATTGTTAAAATATATGATCTGGCCAGGGCAACTTCTTCTCCCTTCTCTTTCCTCCTCCTATATTCTTTATTTACTTATTTTATACTGTTAATTTTAATTTTATATTATTGTATCTCAGTGTATTTTTTGTATTTTTGTATTTATTGGTAATTTATTATGTTCTATTGTATTTCAATGTATCTTATTGTGTTGTAAGCCACCCCGAGGCTTCGGCAAGGGGCGGCATAGAAATGTTATAATAATAATAATAATAATAATAATAATAATAATAATAGTAGTAGTCGTCGTCGTCGTCGTCGTCGTCGTCTAATCTAACTCGCCAAACAGCACCCCTTTGTCTTTTCCCAAGGGGGTGATACGCAATGACCCACTAACAATGCAAGTACTACCACACTGTTACTGTAAAAGGTGAACTTTCCGATCAGCCCTTGGGCTCTCCCTCAGCTGACACCTAATAGCAACCATGGACTGTTCCCAACCCAGCTGGTCAGGGTAAGGATTCTCTTTCAGTACTGGCCTCCAAGCTCGCCTGGCCTTCCCCATCTCCTCGTCCTTCTGTCTCACGATGCTTAGATTGTATCGCTGAGGGTAGGAACTGCCTTCCTGCCACTGGTAAGCCTTCCCCGAGAGCCCCTTTGGCGAAGAAGTACGGCAAAAACGCTTTAAATAAAGGATAAACATCCGTCCAGGAGGCAAGGCAAAGCCCAGGTTGTAGGAAGACGGCCTCCTGCGCTTCTCACAGAGAGCAGCAGCTCGTGCTAGGGAATGGGCTTGGACCGAGGGGAAGCACTCACGTGACGATGGCGTTGGGGTTCTTCTCCACAGCATAGATCTTGATGTGCCGGTTGGCCTGTCGAGCGGCCCGCAGCGAGGCGTTCACGAGAGGGCCCCTCCCGGCGCCGAGCACCATCACCACCCTGAGGGTTTGGGGATGAAAAAAGAGAGCGGAGGAAGGCTCCGAGAGAGAGGAAAGCATTTTGAGCTCGCTCGTTTTCTTGTAGGAACCGGCCTGAGCCACACGGGTCACATTCACAGCACCAGCTGCCGCATATACCAGTTTATCGCACTTGCGGTAAATGAAGACAAGGTCGATAAATAAGGTGCACGGAACGGCTCGTCTTGTGATGCCTACATGGGCGCTCGGTTCATCAGGAGCGCTGATGTGCTTAATTCAAGCTGACTGCACTTAACTGCCATGTTCAGTGTCATCCTACTCAATCTTCTTCACTATACTCAGCAGAGTGCACAGAATACGGCCTTGAATTCGTGTCGTCTTCAATGACAACAGTACAGGAGAAATGTATACCAAGCTATTTGCTCCTGTTATGTATCGGTATTTTGTATACTTTCAACGTAATCAGAACCTGTGGTTAGAAGAAAATGCTTAAGGAAAATGAGAAGGCTTTATCAAAGGACGTATTTTGCTAAACATGCCCAGTGGTAGTTTGATGTCCAACGACTCTGAGAAGAACCAGCAGTATGTGCATTGCTGTTTCTCCAGGGAAGCTGGAAAGAGACAATGCCCAAGACTAAAAGCTAAGCAAAACGACGAAGAATTAGGGAAAATGTCCTTTACAACATTTTTAGCATCCTTTATGTTACGGGAATACGAGGCAGATGACACAAGACAGCAGGTGTTTCATTCCCTCTGAAGGGCTGGTACAAGTTGTACAGCAGTAAAAGACCTGATTAATAAGGTTATAAAGTGGCAATCAGCAGGGAACATCAAAGGGCCAGTGAAAAAGCAAATCCTTTAATCCCATTTCTTAGCATCCTCTGCAAAGACGGTCAAACATGGCCAGGCAGGCTAGGCTGACTGGCCAGATTTTTACTCACTGGACGTTGGTTTCTTTCTCCTCCTCAGGCACACGGTCTAGCAGGCATCTGTATATTGCCTACAAGGAGTAAACGAATGGCTAAGGTGTTGGTTGTGGAACTTGGCTTTGCCCTCCCTATCGAGATCGGGTTAGCAGCAGTTCAACTCAAAAGCCTATTTTGGAAAGCTCATGCTATCTAATCCGGGGAGGGTAAAATAAGGTGATAAGTTGCGTGCTCCTGCTGCTGCCTCCCTGCAAAATTTCAGGGCGTGCTGGGGTGGCAGCAGCAAGAGAAAAAAGTAACCACTTTTCCGCCAATTTTCAGCAGCAAGCCCTGCAGAACAATGGCACATTCAGCCAGACTAAACGTGGCCACGGGGGCATTCCATGGCAGTCTGCCACCGATTTTCAGTGATAAACAGGCTGTTTTTTGTCCATTGTGGATTTTGCTGGTGCAACAGCCGCATGTGGTCCCTGACTGCCCCCCATCCCACCCCAAACTCTCCCCCTTGCTAAATACCAGGACGAGCCAGTCAGTGCTGCAACCTCCCACCTACATACACCTGGCGAGCCGATGCTCCTTCCCTTGAGCCCCTCCCCTCACTTCTCAGCCCCCCCCCCCCGCAGCCCTGCAGCAATGCTCCCTCTCCCCCCATCGGACCAGGAAGCTCCACCCTCTTTTCCTGTTACACACTCACCTGTTGGTACTGGGAGTACTTGATAGGATCTTTCTCAAACACCTCATAGGTCTGGGATTCCAAGTTGTCCATCAAGGGCTACAGGGAGAAAACACCGAGAAGAGAGATTCGTGGCAGGGTGGAGGCAGCGACCAACAAAGCGGACTGGATGCACAGAAGGAACGGGCCAGCCACCTGAGTCTGCAAACGTCAGCTTCCGCAGGAGCACGTGATTCTAGCCTCCCACTTGTAACACATGGAAAGCGTTCCCCATTTCTCAGCTAAGGAACGAAGGCCGAGAAGCAGTGACCTGCCCGAGAGCAATTCCGTGTGTTTGCCGCTAAAACAGCCCTCGAGCCCCAGGCTCAATCCAACACATCGGGGAGGGGAAACTCACCTGCAGCGGGGACTGGAGATAGTCCTCGTAGCCCTTTGCAAAGAGCTCGTAGGCAGAAGGCGGAGGACGGTTCTGGCTGAGGTACTCGAGGTACTGCAGGTAGGAGCAAAACTCTTTCTCTGGATGGTGATGGGCACCGGTGATGATGAACTGCACCTCCAGCTGGGGAACGGCGGCGAACAAGGGTCAGCGTGAGCAAAGAGCGCTTCCCCTGTGGCCCACTGCCGGCATCACCCGCACATTAATCTATAAGCAACATCTCTCTGTGTGTAGCGCTTCATGCAGAAGAGGTCTGCTGAACCCCCGCCCCAAACAGGCTTAAAGTCTAAAAACAGGGAGACCAACACAGGAAGGAGGAATATGCATTTTGGTCCCAGTGCGGGAAAAGGCGGGGGTAGCCGGACCAGCTTGACCGAATCCAGCCATCGAAGGTGATGAGAAAGGGAGAGACTGACCTTAAGCAGGCGGAAGACCAGGCGCTGATGCATCTTGGAGAGAACAGGGAAGCCTTTCTTATTGGTCAGGAAGATGCTGGTGGGAAGTATGGCCGCTTTGATTGGTTCCCCCAGCCAGCGGTCGATGACGTGATTGGACGGCAGGTCAGGGCCCACCTCCAGGGCTGAGGAGAAGGGACACCAGGAGGAAGAGTTGTCAAAGGGAAAAGAAGGGATGCCAATTCCCACACGGCGAGGCTGCCATGCGGTGCAAGCCCCCTGCCCCCAGTCTCAGCCCAGTAGCACTCACCCACGGCAACTCGCTTGTTGTAGTCGCACAGCGTCCGGAAGTTGTGCCACCTATAAAAACAGGACGCTTGTTGGAGTCCCCTGGAAGGCTGCTGTCTCCCACCTCTTCCTGTACATCAACCCCTTTCCCTTCATTCATCCACTGCATTGCTCTAGCTGCCAACAGCCAAAACTCTCTGGATGGCTCCGAATATGATAAAAACATAATACCTTTAACATATAAAAAGGTTAACCCATCAAAGACAGTTTGCAATAAACTACTAGACCTGATTTTAAAAACATTAAAATCCATCTTTTGTTTCATCCATCCATCCATCCTTCCTCTTGCTTACAAGATCAGATGACCTGACCAAGAGGCGACACAAGCCGCAAACGTCACTACGATGCTCCACTACCCAGCTGGTCCACCCCGAGAGATGTCTGCCAGGTACCTGCTGCTATTGGATGCCTCACTCACCACTGCCAGGTCTTCTCCTCGCCGGCACACTCATCCTCTGCCCCCTGCACAGCTTCATTTTCTATCACATCATCCCGCAAATCTTCTGGGGCCAGCAGCGGGACCCGCATCCAGAACTGGCATAGGATAAAGAGAAAGAATGCCTATGTGAAGCGGGTGGGAAAAGGCTGGCTTGGGCTATTTTCTGGGCCTTGCACTGGGTCCAAAACGGAGCTGGATACTCCTTACGAAGGGTAGTTTAGCACCGCTATGCTAGTATGTTAAGCAGCAACATGCTGGGATAAAGAGGTTTTCCCGAGTCTAAGAAGCTGGTCGGTTTTGTCTGTTTCATATGGGGAATTAAGGACCGTCCCACTGAAAGATATTAAAAGAAGGTTCCGCAGATATGGCACAGTGCCCAATAAAACTTATTTAAGATAATTTAGCAGATGAGGTTTGAATGTGCTACGGTGTGACAGCCATATTTGGGGTTGGAAAGAAACCGTTCACCAAGTCAGCTTGTCTGGTAAATTGAGGAGCTGGGGGAAGAACGGTGTGTCTGTCTGGAGTTTCTGCCTTCGCCTGTCCCATGCAGTATGGCTTGTTTGCCATGCAAAGTATCAGAAGCCCGCATCTGCCCGATGAAGGCCATGGCACAGACTACGTCCACATGTTAACAGGAGGTTAAAAAAGGAGGTAAACAAGTAAAGCAGAATTATTTTGTTCAGACAGGTTGGGATGCATTGGCTTGATGTACCATGGAAGTATGATGCCCGGTATTGATGTGATTACACAGAACTCGTGCCAAGTTGGGGTTGTCTGCCTGCGTCAGGGGCAGAAGGAATGCCGGGAGCCCCAAGTAGGCCCCAAAGTTCAGCTCTTCCAACATGGCCTGCAAAGAACAGAGAAGCACAGATGTCTCACATTAGAATTCTCCACACAGTTCTATCAAGTCAGTTCAAAGGGTACATGGCAGAGCTGGAGTAACTTTAGATAAGCTTCAGCAGCTTCTGAGTTGACTTTTTCCTTGTTCAAACAGGGAAACTTGATCAAAGTTGATCAAATTATGAACAGCATGAGAAGACAGAGGTTTCTCTTTCCTTTCCACCAAAACTCCAGGTCATACAATGAAACAGGCCTCAAAACAAAAGGAAAAACTAAGGGGAGAGGCCACTGCTTGGTGGTTAAATGGCCGCTTTGTAGGTTAAAAGGGCTAACTTCAGTCTCTACAATCCCCATTAAAGGTTTTCAAGGAGCAGAGCTGGGAAAGGGCTGTCTCTGCTGAAGACTGTGGGGAGGCCTCTACCACTTGTGACAGACAACACCAGGCCACTTGGACCAATAGTCTGTCAGGCCATACCAATGCTTGGTTCACATGTCATGTCAACCTAGGTAGTTTTTTTTTAAACCCTAGGTTGTCATGAACAAGGAGGAAGTGAGAGTGCAGGCAGGTCCTGACTCCTGGCTGGGGAAAACCAACCCAGAGACACCCTTCCCCTGGGCTGCTACGCACGAATCAGGATTTCTGAGTTGTTGGGGGGACTATCTAGAATTGTACCATTTGATCTAGCTGCAGGCTACAGTTCTGGGATGTCTCTCTCAACAATCCAGGAATTCTTGTTGTGGGGGAGGGGAGAATACCAGGTTATTTTACTCCTCTAGGATACAAAAGGAGCTATCGGACAATGGGAACCAGCACACTCGCCTCCACACTCTTCATTAACAAAAGATCCATTCTGTTGTTCTTAAATGAGGCCGACACATAAGGAAGTTGTGGAATTCCTTGCAGCAGATGCCATGAAAACATCTGTCACAGGTAAACCGTTTTTATTAGCCAATACCATAGAGGTACTTACTAGGGATTAAGTCCCACTGAACTCGGTGGGGCTTACTTTTGAGCAGACATGCAGAAAAACAGGGCTCTATTGAATACCGCTGGCATTAATATTTAGGAATGCAACCTTCACATTCAGAGACAAAATACTTCCAACAACTCCATGCCAGGAACATGCAGCATTCTTCCTCTTGAAAACACTGTGTGCAATGGCAAGCTGAATTTAAACAGGATTCACCATTGTCATCCCCGTCGTCGAAGGGACCCCTGGCTACAAGCCAAGCACATTCCTGCACAGCGTCTCTGGAGCTCACTCACCGCCTCAGAATTCCTCCGCACCTTCTCCACTTTAGAATCAGCCCGGATCCACGGGGACAGTTTGCCCACAATCAGTGTGTTCCAGTCTAGCAAAAAGTTAAGAGGATTGTGCAGATTAGAAGAACCTCTCTTTCATTTGGGAAGGAGTGGAAGGATCAGCGAAAGCAGTGAGAATACGGCCTCCCCTTTAAAAGCATCTCTCTATTTTTTTCATGCATATTTCTTCTCTCTTGACCACCTTGCTACCCAACCCACGCCCTTGAGAATAGATGAGGAGGAAACAGCCCAGGTTTTTGCAATTAGCAAATACATTTATTTATTGACAATTATAAGTATATATTTTATTTATTTATTTATTTATTTATTTATTTAAAACATTTTTATGCCGCCCCCATCGCAACAAAGCCTCGGGGCGGCTTACAACAAAAACAAAGATATATAAAATTATACAAAAACAAAGTTATACACTAAAAATATTAAAACCTGGTGTATCTCGGCTTAAACATTTTAAAATCCTGCACAATAAATTAACAATAAGTTATAATTTATTGTCCTATCTTCAGCCAGCAGGGAGATAAATGAAAGACAAGTAAAGGTACAATCCTATGTGTTGTTTAAACTGAGAAAAGGCCTACAAGGCCTAGGGCTTTGTAAGGCTTTTCTTAATCTAAGCATGGCTAAGTTTCCACAGGTGCTCACCTCTCCCTGAGAGCAAAAGGTCCGAGCGAGTCTGGGGTCCTGGTCGTTTTTTTGCTGGGTCCTGGAAAAACTCTCTTTTGTAACGGGGGTGGAAGATGGGCATGCAAAGGAAATCAAACCTATGGAATGAGAAACAGGACATGTTAAGTTTCTGGATTAGGAGATAAAAAGTCAGCGCTATGTCCCAGTAATACTGGCATTGTTCAGAATGGAGGAAAGTGCCTTCTCTGGTAGCCATGCCTGGTTTCTGCCAAAAGACACTTATTTCGGCCTCATGAAGACCCTTTATTTTCTTATAAGCATCTGGCCTGCTGCACTATGGAATTTAATCTCTCCTTTGATATAACAGATGGCATATTTTGCCTGCTGCCTCTTTTTTTGTTATTCTATATGTTACTACTATTTCAATATGCCAATCACTTTATAAGCTACCCCAAGCGTTAACAGAAAGGTGGGATGAAAAAATTATGAAATCAATGAAACCACCAATAAGCCATGAACTGATGCAATAGGTGCTTTTTCAATGGTTAACCCCTGATCAACTGATTAATATGAAAGGCCAGCCTCTTCGTACAGATAAGACAGGATTATGTCTTTTCTCCCAACCTTCCTTTAAGCTATCTTCATAGGGGTGGTAACCAAGATTATCTGCATGAATTCTTGAGAGGTTTTTCCACAGTATCCTTTGAAAGACTTTTGTGAACAGTCACTATGTTAAGCATAGTATAAAGCTGATAGTTTTTTAAATGCCACAAAAGTTTTTGCTGCAACAGACTAACACAACTTCTTCCTGCAAATTGTTACGATCAGTTTGTGCAAGCATTGAGCCTGATAGCTTCTGAGGCCTGATTTGCAAAATTGCCATAATGATTTTGGTTTCTCCGCACAGCCTAACAGGGAGTCTTTAGGCATAAGAACTTGGTGGGAAAGAAGTCTTGCAATACATGAAGCTAAATGTAAGGACTTCAGAGTATCTTAGTGTGTGTATATACCTGGAGGGAAAAGTGCAAAGGTTTAATAGTCCTCTATGCTTTCAGAGGGGCACAGACAAAACACACTGTCAACTCCAAACCCTGTGCCATTTAAAACAAATTTTCTTTCCAAGTGAAGAGCTGCATCCATTGGGCAAATCTGATCCACAAGCCCCCAACCTTCTTTTAGATTACCATGTTAAATAAGTACATACAACAGCAAGAGAGAAATTCCCACCACCACTGCCTGTTACTTTTGCTCTTCAACCCCTTTCTCATCATTTGTACTACTTGGTTACTTGACAGAGAACCAGTAAGCAGGCATCTATTACTCTTCTGGCCACCACCACTGTCTGCCCCCTAATGTGAGACTATTTGCAAGGCTGAAGAGAAGCAGCAGCTCTGGGGGGGGGGGGGGAGCTCTGTATCTTCAGCAGAATCCCACCTTCACGCTCCTATGCAGACCTATGAATATAAAGGATAGCTCATTTTCTGGTTGTTATTATTCAATCAAAGCACAAGACATAGGATCATTTAAAAAATCAGCACTACACAGGCAGATTACGTTGCCTTATTCCATGGGGCATATCAATGCATGAGCTAGGTGATGCCAAGCCATTTTCCCTGAGAGATGGGTAGATACTGATATAATCCCAAAGTTTAGGGAACAGCAGCAAGAAAACATGGTCGGTCGCCACGGTTTTCGGGAAGGTTCCTCTGCACCTTGAAGTCGTTTCCCTATCGCCACATCTCTATACTGGGAAAAGCATCACCGGTGGAGTTTCTGCCTGCTTTTTAAAGGCACAGGAAATGAGCTGTCGGTGGTCTTACAACCTGGCCTGAGGTTAGAGGTTATGACGAAAAGAGCGGGGACAGGCAGAGATAAAAGCAGGGGATCCCCCACGCGGGACAGGGGTCAGCATGGCACGTCTGGACGAGTCGAGGATCACGGGGAGACCACGTGCTTTCGCTCACCCCTGCCTGGCGACCGCCCCCAGCGTGCCCGCCACCTCCGGGACGCAGCTGAGGTCCCTCCCGCAAGAGACGCGGGCCACTGCGGCTGCCCCGGGCCCAACCGCGGACGCTGCCGCCGCCGCCATCGCTGCCGCCGCCGCCGCCATGGCCCGCCGCACAGAGAGCGGAGAGCCCGGCAGCCACGCCCACCTCGCCACTCCGGCGAATCAGCGGCCGCCCTCAGGGAAAGCAGCCAACCACAGGAGGGCTTTCCTGGCCGAACGGAGGGGCGGGTGACTGCGGGGGCCCGAGCGGAGCCAATCAGAATCCTAGCTGGGGGCGTCCCGTTCGATCGCTATGATGAAGCGGACGGCCAAAGGGGGGGGAAATCCCATCATGCTCTGGGAAGGAAGAATTTTAATAAACTGTCTTTCCCGGCAGACCAGGCGCTCCGCACGCTGCGTCCCTACTTGTACTACATGGACCAGCATGCATCGCTCTCCTAATGCCTGCGAACACCCGCGCCCGAACACGTACATTCCCAGCATGCATTGGTGGAAACGCTGTAACTTAGATCCTGCTGGAGAGACACTCGCGGCTGCATTCTATATATTGGGGGCGCTGTAAAGCAAGGCTCTTGTCTGTGGGCCAGTGGCGCAATGGATAACGCGTCTGACTACGGATCAGAAGATTCTAGGTTCGACTCCTGGCTGGCTCGTGAAAAGACACTCTTTTGCTCTCATTCCAGAGAGCGGCCTCAGCTTTTGAAATGCATTCATACCACCAAGCCTCCACGTATATTAATTGTTAAACTAAAGCAATGGCAAAGAGCGCCGTTCAGGGAGTGATTCGGAATGTAATATTCATTCCAATGAAGTGTAACAAAAATCATTTTGTGCACCAGTTTCATACGTATCTGGATGCTCACCTGTATCAGAAAAATCTACCTAGACATAAATAACCCTGCAAAATTTCTAAGGACCAAGCACAGACGCACATCGTGCAGGGGAAAGGCAGTGCCGCATTTGTAGTTCACAAACTCATTGTGCACGTGCCCCTCTCTTGATCTCTCCAGATTAAATGTTCATTTTTTTCTTGCTTAAAAACAGCTGAAGTCTACATTTCTTACATTTCAATTTGCCTTCTAAGGTCATATTTGTATTTCAGATTCCCAGGGAATGAATATTTTATTGCAAACCCAAGAAACTCTTTAGCAAATGTTGCCGCTGACTCAGAAAGCTCTTTTTCTTATCCCACAAGAATTCACATTTAAGTAATTTTGGCAGAATACCCTCATGCATTTTTCTTACATAATGCAGTAGTTAAGCATGTTATCTTTGAAAAGCCTTCCTTCTTCTCTCCTCCAAGGAATGTTTTAAACAAGTACACAAAGTTAATGTCATCAATAAGCAATAAGGATGCTTCCTTTTTTGAACAGCAAAAATAAAACTAAAGGAATAAATAGCCTAGTACCAGAATGTTTTATCAGCAATTGCAGTATGACTACCATTAATAATGTGATCCTCACATTCATTTTAATTTCCTTCTGCCCAGCAGCCAATTTCCCCTGTATTCTATTTAATCTGAAACTCCATATAGTGCACAAAAGCTTATACCTGAATAAATGAGGTAGTCTTTAAGGTGCAACATCTTATTAAAATTAATGACACTTATTTCAGTGATTCTGTAAACTTAACTGTTCAATAACAGCATGTGAAATACAGCAGGGGTCCTTTGCTAAAGCCTGCTTTACAACACAAGCCTATTTTAAAGTTACTTTAACTACAGATTTGCAGGAAAAATGTGCAAAAACGGTTTATGGATTTTTTTCTCTGATTTAGTAATGCACACTACAGTAATGGAAATTATATAGCACAGCTCTGGAAGCTGCTAAATAATGGATATTTATTAATGGTTCAATTGAGGATTATGCTGTTTTTCAGCCAGATTGGCGGTTAAAGCGGCTTAAAATTAGAATCCATACAAAAGCACAAAATGAGCGATAAATGGAGGTGTTCGTGTAATGCTCTGCTGGATCCCGACAGCTAGAATGTTCCAGGCTCTTCCTCTAGAAGGAGCTGCAGATAAACTCAGACTCTTAACCCACAGCCAGGACTGAATTTCAGCAGAAAGGCTAATCTCACTGAATAAAAAAAGGTACGGCACAGCGGACTACTGGGTTGTATTTTTCCTTTCAAGTAAAGAGCGAGTCCCAGATGAGCACCAAGTCAACCCCAGCACTCAGTACTATTCATTCACTCAACAGGCTCAAGAGCGTTACCCTAAGCGCTGTATAAGTATAAAACTGAAGGGGTATTTAATTGTACACTGTTCATCTTTTGTCATGATTATCTTGACGTTATGCTTCATTTAAGATTTTGTTTGTAATCTGCATGTTGGCATTAGCTGCCTTGAGCACAATTTTTGCAGGGCTATACATTATTGTGGACATGGCTGGAGAGCTCTTGGGCTCCGTTCCTAGGAAATTAGGTTTGAGCAAAACAGAGAGAGTCCGATATCCATTCCGCAGTCTACTGACAGGTAGGAAGAAAAGGGCGGAAAAGGAAGCAGTATTGATCTGGCACATGAGAACGGCAGCTACTGGGAGGCAGAGCCCAAACTCTTTGTCCAGGAGGAAGAAAGCACACGACACAATTAAATGTTTTTCCCTTCATGTTTTGTTTTGTTTTTACATAGTGTATCTGTTATTGGTCAGTGTTCAACAATGCAGCACTCAGTCCAAGGCTCAGCTACATGTCAGTGCAGTCTCAGTCTTTACTGAACTCTGCCAGCACCCATCGCCTGTTCTCAATTATGGCTTTCAGTTGGGCATATTCCTTCACTAATTCCTCAAACTCGGGACCCAGCGTTTCGTAGTTGGAAAGGATCTTGCGTGAAGTGGCTAAATCTTGCTCTTCTTGGCTTAATGTTGCTTTCAACTTATCCCTACAAAAAGAAATGAATGAGTGAACGAACATGTTGCAGCGAAAGCTTTCACAAAGAGACCTAAGCAAGGTACACATGTTTCTGTTCTGTTCACATGTATACATTCAGTTTCTTTTCTGTTTATCCTGTGATTTTCTCAACATAGTACAAAGAGGCTATATAGTCATTTATTTTTTTCTCTCTCTCTCTCCCACACACACATATACACACACTTTAAACTCAAGAGTACTAGAATCACAGTGAACAAACGCTAGAAAAACATGTGCTTTCTTCCCTTTGACCAGGAGTGGGGAACTTTAGGCCACTGATCACTGAGTGGTTTTCTGGCTTTTCTGCATTTCCCCTCGTTTCAAAAATTTAAAATGCCTCTGGCTAAGGCTTAGCTATCAACACTAGGCGCTTTATTCTATTAGATGCCACTCTTTTGCAGTATTTTTGTCCCTATTTTCTTTTGGATTTACCCTCTTTCCCTTCAAATCCCATCCACCAACAGAATGTGCCCCCACTCCCCAGAGTGTCTCTGAAATGGAATTTGGCCCTCAGACTGATAAAGGTTCCGCAACATGCCTTTGACCTATCGCAATCCGTACAGGTAGCTGAAGGAAACCTCTTCAAGATTACCTGAATATGATGCAGCCAAGCCTCAAGAACAAAGATGCAAATGAGGCCACAAAAATAAGTACAGTTAAAAGTGAGGCATATGTAACCCTCAATTTGCTTTTAGCCTGACCCCAGAACTAGTGAGGACGCAAGTTACAGGAAGTGCACCGCAAGCTGACTCTTCCAAACTTAGGGTACTCCAGAGATCTTTTCAAAAGGCAATTCCTGCCTACAAGATAACATTTGCTGGTAATCACTTTCCAGCTGCCATCTGTGTTTACACCTGCCACAACAGGAGGACTTACGAGGTCCCAGTTTCGTATTACAGATCTAAAGCCTTGCACAAAGATGTGCCCCCCCCACAACACACACGAATGCCCGCTTACCTCATCATCCGATGGACATCCACTTTCTCAGGTGTGTAGGTTTCCAAAAGGATGCTCAGTTCCTCAAGCCTATCATAGAGAGAGCTACTTGAAGGAACAGAATTGACAGACAGCAGGCTCCTGCCCCTGTCAGATTCCCAACATACCGCTTCTGGCCTGACAGTTACTCATAGTTGTCGTTATTCAGCGGTTCGGTCATGACCGACTATAAGTGATCCGATGGGCCAAATCTCACCACACTTTTCGATCCCGTGCCACCTCTTTCAGCTGATCTATGCTCTGGCCCACATCCTCTTAGACGGAGCCTAACCACCTTGCTCTTTGGCGACCTGGTTTTCTCTTGCCACCGAGCATTCCAGGCATTAAATTTTTATTTATTTATTTATTCATTTTCCGATTTAAATCCTGCCTTTTTCCTACAAGGGGCTCAAGGCAGCTTACATTCTCCTCCTCCATCTTATCCCCACAACAACAACCCTGGGAGGTAGGCTGGACTGAGAGTCTGTGACTGGCCCAAAGTCACCCAGTTGGCTCCATGGCTGAGTGGGGACTCGAACCCGGATCGTCTGAGTCCCAGTCCCATGCTCTTAACCACCACACCACACTGGACCTTCTGCATGTAAAGCAGGTGTGATAAACAACCTGGAAAATGCTTGTCTATCATCCTATTTGAAACAGAATTACTCATGAAATAACTGCACTTAAAATTAAAACATGTCATTATCACCAGCAGAATTCAATAAATTAATTAAGTAATATGAAACAATGGAATTATCATGGTATGGCCCTCTTGCCAAAGCCCTCTTTTTACAAACCTCACTGTTTACTATCAGAAATATAATGGGATAATTGGAAGTTGTATTCCAAAACAGACTGCTCATATTTTACTTAATCCTTCTTTTTTACAGCTCATCCAAATCTTCCTTATTAAACTATATGTCTTCTCTCCAGATCATTTAGCACCTTTTCACTCTCCCAGTACCTCAACCTCAGGATATCAGACACAACATTAACTAAAAAAATTCACTAGTGTGGCTGGCCCAAAGTCACCCAGTTGGCTCCATGGCTGAGCGGGGACTCAGGCGACCTGGGTTTGAGTCCCATTCCCGTGCTCTTCACCACTACACCACACTGGCTCTCTCTTTTCTAATGAGCTTGATCTTGTGACATAGACAAAATATATAAGTCTCAGCTTTACTTATGGATGATGGCCCAACACAGGCATCTAAACCTCTGGAAGATTCCAACCAAAGCTTCAACACATCTTCTAGATTCTAGTTTGTACTTCTCTCAAGCTACAGACTTCTGACTCCCTTGCTTAGGCATAAATGCCATATTAACATATTCACTAGAAATGTATGGCAGCCAGAACTGGAAGATTTTTCCTGTCATCCCTAAGCTCAGGAACCAGCATCCACCAAGCTCAACGTCTTCCCAAACATGGCATGAATGGAAGAGAACACAGGAAGACCTCACCGTATTTTGAGGAACATGGCGTTGCACTTTGTCTCCAAGTATCGGGTGTTGAGCTGGTCAAGTTCAGATTGGGCACCAAGGCGAAATTCACAGGCCAGGCTTTTCAGTATGGCTAAGCAGCGTAACAAAACCTGTAGATATGAGGAGGTGGAATGAGAAGGAAGGGCAGAATATGCGCAGGGCACCACAGGTAACCCATGCATCCACAGCTTCGTCATAATTTTCCAGGCTCTGTGATTTTGGAGAAAAGTGTCATCATATGGACAGTACTCAGGAAAGGCTTGCTTGTTGGTTGGGTGCTGGACACAGCCCACCAGTTTTTTGAAGGATGCTTCTGGTATCCCATGGCAGGGGTTACTGGAGCATGAGGAGAGAGATCTTGTTAATAGGTATGCAGGAATTAAAAGCTGTTTGGGCTTCCAAAAGGTTAAAACAAGAACTCACTTGTGCTCAATACACTACCAAAAAAAGCAAACAAACAAACCCTGAGCAAATTCTGACGCAATCCCTCAATAATGGGGTTTTTGTATTATTCCCTGGCCTCTTACTTGGAAAAGTTTTATATTCTATTCCTTACCTGGGGATAGGCAGCTTTCTGCTGCTCCAACAATCCCACAAGCTCTTGGCTGCGAGACTGTGCCTCTTTTAGGCGTTGCTTCTCCGCAGCCAAATTTTCTGCCAGTGTCCCAGACATAACTGCCCGAGCAGACTCACCAGCACCATCTGCAAGCAAAAAAGATCAAAATCAGGGAACGTAAGTGGGATGGTGCTGTTGGATCCACATCCTGTTTATGCACTTCCCATGGGTTAGCCATTGTGGGAACAGAATGCTGGATTAGACGGTCTTTTAGTCTGATCCAGCACAGCTTTTCCTATAGGCTTAAACATTAAGCCCCAGACCTAATGGCTCTACAAAGTACCTTTGTTTTCCTTCAACAGTTATAGTACTTCCTGCATCTCCAGGAGCTCCCCTTACCACCAAGGTTCAGAAATGCATCTTACCAGTCTCAGGGCGATAGTAACCAAGCACAGCCAAGCATTTGGACTTAAGCCGTTTCTCCAATTCTGTGGGGAGGCGCTTTTGCATTTGTTCCAGGTCCTGTCACAATGTATGAAAGCAAAGAGTATATCAGACTAAAAAGGAACTTAATTGTCATTGTTTCCTGTCAATAAATACTGGGGATTTTAGAGTATTTTCAGAGAGTGGATTCATGCACTAAATACTCAAAACCTATGCTAGGATCATGATTTTGACTGAAACTCATCCAAGAACTCAAGGTTATGGGTAAAGCAAAGTTAGGGAAGAGAAACCTAGCTAAATGGGAGCCTAAAGCCAAGTAATACATTCAGAGTCATAAAAATACTAAAATACATGAATACCTTTATTACAACCTTGAATACCTTTATTAATATTCACAAAACTGTAAGCACCTTTTTGCACCTTAATCAAGCAAGATATTACAAAAAGCAAAGGGAATGGAAAAGGGGGAAAATGCTGGCTTGAAGTTGAAATCATGAAACCTGTATTGTCCAAGTCTTAAGATGGAACAGAGGAAATGGCATAGACTTAATTGGATTAGGCTGCACTAGGTATCTGCCCTGATTCAGCAATGTTGAAAACAGCTCAATTTGCCTCAGTTCAATTCAAAGTCTGCCCAATCAGACTCAAAGCCAAATCTTGATCTGGAAATCTGGTTTCAAATCTCCCATTGATCATAATTGGAAATCAACAAATTACTATCTTTTTTCACTCTTTGACGTAACTGAGAGGTGTAGTCACCCATTATGAGAGGAGGACACCACATAAATAGATGTGGGGGGCTATGCTAAGCACATTCAAATTTTAATTAATTTTGACAAGGCAAACCGCCAATAACATTTTTATTTCTTGGCAGACTGGACAAAAATTTAGGCTTAGCTGCCCCTTTCTGATGAAAGTGAGACTGCCAAGTTTCAGATGAAAAGGCTGCGGGAGTTTTATGCAAGAGTAGATTTTACATTCTGAGGGTTCCGAAAAGGCTGTTCTTGGTCACCTGTGTTCTTCCCAGCAATTTGAATGAAGATGGTATTCATTATAGAGGCTGTCCCTAAGGCAGAAACCTGCACAATTCAGAAAAAATAGTTGCAAGGTCTAGGAAGCTGTGATGAATGAAGAATAGCCTAAAGCTCTGTATTCTGCCCATTTGGCACCAAAGTCACAGAATGTGCAATTGGAGTGAAATGGATGTGGAAATGCAGAAGTACAGTAAGTATTTTTTAGGAAAGCAAACCCTAACCCTAACCCTAACCTTGTTACATCCACCCAGGATCCACAGCATTAACATTCCTTCTATTTGGAAAAAGACTGAGCAATAAAACAGTCCTGTAATATGTTACTGCAACGTACTTATCCTAAAGTACCAGAATCATAAAGACCAAATAAAACCATCTACTGTGATTAGAAGCCAAAACTGTTAGTCACAAAGATATAAATTAAGCGATTCTATTTACTGTAAATATGTCCTCTCTGAGGTTCAATGAGCCTGAAGGTAATTTAATCTAACCCTGGGATAAAATCTGTCACAGATTAGTCTGACATATACAGATGCATTCAGTTAATGCATAGCAGAGCATGTGAAACCGAAGTAAAACTCTTGGTAATGCTATACAAGAGATAATGGCAATAAAGTGAAAGTTTAGTAATTCAGCCTAAAGAGAAAGGATTACAGAAGCACATCCGGGCCTCTAAACCATTTATTTGTGGGGTACAGGTCCATCTTACTTGCTTAGGGGGGAGAAGCTCCAATACATGGGAGGATTCCAAACCCAAGAGTGATGACTCTGTGCCTCGTATAGAAGGATCAGGATGTAGGATTTGTTTCAGCTCAGCTATCAAAAGTTGCTTCTCCAGGACCTCCAAGAACTGAGGGTGAGAGAGATTAGAGACAAAACTAATTTATTTTCTGTACCACCCAATAGCTGAGGCTCTCTGGGCAGTTTACAACTTGCAGCTTAACCTTCCCCATCCAGCCCATTAGACCTTCCTCTCCCAAAAAAAGGGCCCTAGGGCCTTTCTCTGAGCATATACAGCCTTATATAGTCCCCTGAAGACCACCAAACTTCAGTTTTCACACTCCTTGAGAAATTTATTCCCCAGGGCTCATTTAATACCTTCATTTCTTTCCTTAAAGTCCCACTTCTTGCTTCTGAAGTTAATTAAAGAACTCTAAGATCCCACTTTAAAGCTCTCACCATGCACATCATTTTACAGGTCTGACCTCTTAGCTAGTCTCAAAAATGTTCATCCCCTTCCATGAGTTCCTATGGTTACATATCATGCAGTCCTTATTGCTCATTTTCCATTTCTCTACAGCCATTCAGTTTTTCTTCAAACATTACTTTTCTATCCTGTGGGGCAGGACCGGTTCCCAATTCCCTTAGAGCCTCCTGAAGAAGCCGATGTATCACTTCCCACTTCAGCCAGTTTGCTCGGCATCGCTGTAATTCCTTCCGTGCCTACAAGGGAGGAAAGTGAGAAAAAGGTTAGACAGCAATCTAGGTAGCTGTCTGATAAACTGTTGTCAAAATTACAGAGGACAGGCAGGCAGGAACAGTTATGTTGTGAGAAAAAGAATTTACAGCCTGAATTTGCATACATTTATCTTACACAGCATATTCTGTTTCTCCTAGCTATAGTTTAAAGGGCAAATAGATATGTAGCATACTGAGCTTTTGGAAATCTTGCCAGTTTTCTCATTCCAGCTTCTGCGATTTCAAAACACAATGCTCACAGCTTTCAAAACTCGTATTTGCAGTCATCAGACTCAATAATTTGTTTCCCCCCCCATCCTCACCCCCCAAAAGCAATAATACAAGGTTGGCTTCTCAAGATAATGCTTTTTATATTCAACTTTATCTGTACTGGCACAGAATACTCATGAGGTGCAAAGTAGCTTGGGTAATCCTACCTCCTCCATTTGCTGTGCCAGGTTGACACTGAGCCCGCTGGAGTCCATATGTGTAGTCAGATCCATTAAAAGGTTAGCCAAGCCTGGGTTGGCAGCCAGATCCTCCTCAGTAAGTGAGCAAGGGGGAAGGCGGCTCCCACAGCCTATTGGGTCAGACAGTTAGGATAAAGTTCCTCTCTCTGAAAGTTTTCAGTTTGCCTCAGATAAACACAGTGATATTACCTTTCAGCAGCAGTTCAGCACCCACAGCAGATGCCATTAGCTCTTTACCAGAGAAAACCACCTAGACAATGAGAAGGAGAGATGAGAGCAGTTAGAAATGCTAAGACAGATTCCACAAAGTGAGGCAAAATGATACAATCCAGGTAAAGCCCATACCTACGGTACAGGCAGGTGAAAAAAGAACTGCATGCAAACTGAGGGCTGCACCTGGCTACTGGCATACCAACATATCCATTGATTAACTCATCCCAACATGGGGGAATGATTAGAGGATCAAACCCAGTGTGTCATATCCATATTAATTTACAGGGCACTGATGACAAGCTTTTTTAGAGGACCATACAAACTAAACGGCCAAGTTTTGTGTGCAAGGACAAGCAACAGCAAGGGGGTGGACTTGATGGCCTTCATGCCCCCCTGCAACTCTACTATCCTATTATTCTAAGCAAACCAGAATCCCAACATACCCCTCCTTGGAGGGAAGGCACACCAAGCTGCCAGTCCCCAACATTTACATCAAACTGTGTTAGATCTGTTTCTTCCTTATGGAAGATCGCACTAACCTGCAAGAAGCCTTCCTATCATAAAACAGGTCTTTATAGCAACCCCAAGCACATCTCCAAATAACCAAACCCACAGAAATGATTACTATTACACTGCATTTATACCCCGCTTTCTCCCTCTTGTAAATTTCACGGCCAAGCCGGGACTAGATCCCTGACCCCGACCCCCGATCCTGCACAGAAGTGGCCACTTTCCCTTCCCTCAAGGGTCATGCCAGCTTGAGGAAGATGAAACCTGCACCAGTCTTCCCCACACAGGTGCCTTCCTGGTGCGTTCAACTACAACTCTCAAATCCCCGATGGGACTTGTAGTTAGCAGGATCTGGAAGGCACCGGGGAGGGGCAGGCTGCAGTATTTGCAGCCAGCCACGGTGGCCTCAAGACGGGCTGAATATCCCACCTGAACGTCCCTCATGCACAGCCGCAGTATTACCAATAACACTACACCCCGCCCGCTTTTTAATTCTTCTCACAAACAGGACTGCCACTCTCAGCGAGGGAAAGTAAGTTCCGCACTTTTAAGAAAGCTTCAGGGCAGGCAGAAATTCAACAAGCTCACCACTCGCTAAGACAGAGGGAGCTTTACCGGTTTTATCTCTGCCTGGTGCAGAACAGTTGAAAAGCAAAGGCGCCTTTCCAGAAAATAAGGCAGAGGTGAGGTGCTGGGGGCCCTGCCCACCAAGACAGCAGCCTAGGAATCCTCCATTTTTTCTGGAAAAGGGAAATTTAGTATGACTCAGCAGCAGCAGCACAGGAACAGAACTGCCCGCAACTCCATGGACGGGGCAGCAAAAAGGGGGCAAGCGGCCACGCCGAGGCGAAAGAGAGGCGCAAGTGACGTCACGGGACCTTTCCCGCGCTTTTTCCTCTCCCGTCTTCGTTCCCGCCTTCCCCTCCCCGCCGCCGAAGACTCGACTCCCACGTGCTCGAGGCAGAAAGTTCCAACCGTCTTCCACGCGCCGGCGAATCGTAGCCCCGATGGGTACGTGAGCGCAGGAAAGCGAAAGGTAGGACCCGCCCATTGGGGGGCTAGGAAAAGAGTGGCGCGTTGCTAGCCAATGAGAGGCTGCGGGAAGAAAAGAAAGGCGGGGCTTTGATAATATTCATGAAAAGGGGCGGGGAATGGGGAGGGAACCGTCACACGCTTCTTGGCGTCCTGATTGGTCGGCGCCTGCCAATCCTTGATTGATGTTCCTTCCCAAACTTAAGGAGGGCGCGCATTTTTAACTCTTTCCCAGCCGCTGCCGTGGCCCCTGTGATTCCCGCCACGCCCCCAACACCCCACATGCAGCAGGGGAATGACGGGGGGACATGCGCCGTGGCATAGAGAAAAATGAGCACCTTAAGTCCTGTTCCGCCGCACGTGAAATTTTTTTTCGGGGGGGCGGAAGATGCATGCTTCCCGCAGCAGAAAAAAGTGCTTTTCTTCCCAGCTGCCTGGGGGATTCTGGGTGGTGTAGTCCAAGATAGCTGCAGGGTGCCCAGCTGAAGAAGACTGAGTTACCTGCAAAGATTTCGGCTGGTTCTGGTCACGTCCCAGTGCTGCAGAAAGCGGGGCAGAGATATTAGGGGAGGGTCAGTGGGGCTGAAGTCCCAGATCTCTGGGGTGCTTTCTGCCGCCCGTGGGCACTCGCCCAAATAAAGAGGCAGGGCCTTGGGGAGCTCGGTTGCAAATGATTTTTCTGGATTAACTGGGTTTCAGCTCACAAGAGCTTCCTATATTGCCGCCTCCCTCCAATCTTCCTGCCTGAGAGCTTTTTCCTGAAATCCAGTGCCTTTCCCCTGCCTCTACATGCCTTGGGGGTGTTTAGATCATGCAACCTAAATTAGCAAATGCAAATTTGTGCATTTTTTATTTTGCCCTGTGGGTCTGAGCTTGGATGGGTGGGAACTCCACCTGTCAAAACTCTTTCTTCCACAGCACTACATTAAGATTGCAGGGAAGTTGTTGCTAATCCCCTTTCCACCCTAGAAAGAGATGTTTAATAGTGACTCTCTCCTGCTGGGGGGTGGGGGGGTAGTATTAGGCCTTGGAACCAGCTGGCAGGGTTCAAATTCTTTCTGTGGGGCAAAGGAACTGCTGTCATTTTGCTTCAGCTTCCTCCATATGTAAACTTTGTGTGTTGCTTTTACTGAACACATCAAGTTGCTAAAGGGGTGTAGATAAGGAACAATTTTAAATTGTCTATTCTTAGGGTTTTGTTTTATGGACATGCATGAACCACCTTGAACTTCCATTTTTTTTTAAAGGTAGGTCTATGCTTGTAAAAGAAGGAACAGAGAACATTATGTAGTGCAAATGATTCACAGGGTGTGATAAGCTTGCAACTGGGGCCCAGCACATGTAGCTGAGCATACAGTGGATTTGTTTTAGTTCAACTGGACTTGGGGGATAATGATCTGAAGGAGGGGGACTTTGAATTGGTCCCATTGTCATGGCTGGCTCACTGCCTGTTGAAATTTAGAGTACCCTTTTGCAAGGGTGGCCCAATTAAGATCATTTCAATACACACCCCCAGGCTAATGAATCCAGGCGGTTTGTGGAGTGGTTTCTGCCCAGTTTCTGCCCAGTGGAGCGGTTTAGGGTCACTTGGGGCCTGTTACACACTGGCCCAAAGGACACCTTAGACCACAATCCCTGATGGAATGTCACAATGTACCCAGACACTAACTGTAAACCCCAACAACTGAGTCCTTATTTTGAATGTCACCTCCAAAGGGAAGCTCAGCTCATGCCAACAAGAAGCAGGGCCTTCTCAGTGGTAGTCCCAAAATGTGGAAAGAACTCCCCACCAAGGCCTGCTTGGCTCCAACTCTTTAAGGTTAAGGTTATCCTCACTGATGAGGCCTTTACCAAATCTAAATAGCACATGGGGGCATTGGTAGCTGTTTTTCTGCAGATCTAATAGCATGAGCTGTTTAGTTGTAAAAATGTGGCTTTAAATATAGTTTTAATTTTACTGTAATTGTATAGTGCTTTAGTGTTTTAACCCATATTGTATTTATTATTGTTCTTCACCGCCCTGTGTGTTTCAGCTCAGCTTTTGGGTGACAGAGAAATTAAATAAAGAACATTTTTTCTCAGCAATCAGCCCCATTGAACAGAATGGAACATACTTCTGTGTAGGAATGTATTGGATTGAACTGTAAAGGAAGGCAGTGAGAAGAGCCCCCCCCCCCCCATCATCTTGCAAAACCATTCCCAAGACTCATCTGTTGCTAGCCGGACGTCTCGGAAACCTCACAAGCTGTGCATGGACAGCCACGCAATGCAGTTTGTTTCTAGCGGCTGATATTTAGGAGTAACCGACTTCTGCCTCTTCCTCCATGGATCACTGCCTTGCCGTGGCAAAGGGGCTTGCATAGCTCAATGAAGCTATGAGCTCTGCCGTGCAGGGCCACCCAAGACGGACAGGTCATAGCACAGAGCTCCGACAAGGCGTGATCCACTGGAGAAAGAAATGGCAACCCACTCCAGTACCTTTGCGATGAAAACCCCATGGACAGTACCAAAAGGCAAAAAGATGAGCCCCTCTGGTTGGAAGGTGTCCAATATGCTACTGGGGAAGAGTGGAGGGCTAGTACTAGTAGCACCAGAAAGAGTGAAGCAACTGGGTCAATGCTGAAAGGACACTCAGTTGCAGATGTATCTGGTGGTGAAAGGAAAGTCCGATGCTGCAAAGATCTATACTCCATAGGAACCTGGAATGTAAGATCCATGAATCAAGGCAAGTTGGATGTGGTCAAACAAGAGAAGACAAGACTGAACAGCGACATCTTAGGAATCAGCAAACTAAAATGGACAGGAATGGGTGAATTTAATTCAGATGACCATCAGGTATACTACTGCGGGCAAGAATCCCTCAGAAGAAATTGAGTAGCCTTCATAGTCAATAAACGAGTAGGAAAAGCAGTACTGGGATACAATCTCCAAAATGACAGAATGATCTCAGTTCGAATCCAAGGCAAACCATTCAACATCACAATAGACCAGGTCTATACCCCAACCACTGGTGCTGAAGAGGCTGAAGTTGACCGGTTCTATGAAGGCCTACAACACCTTCTAGAATTAACACCAAAAAATGATGTCCTTATCATCATGGGGATTGGAATGCCAAAGTAGGAAGCCAAAAGATTACCGGGAT